GTAAAATAAGAGCTAAATAGTGTAAAAAAAATTCTGTAAAAGTCTCAATAGAATTCATTCAGTGGTAAAACAGGAGTTGTGGATAAGAGATGGGAACCCCAAAGAACAATAAAGGGCCGACGGACTTACAAACAAACGGACACGCGGATGGATGCCCCAGTAATGATATACACCCTTCTACTTTTCGAACGGTGTATATTGAATACTGTTGTATACTTTTTTTCCAGTTTTGATAATTTCAAAATAATTCCTGTACTTTATTTTACATAATAACTTTTTTTTTACTTTCAGGAAACCTTTAAATTTTTCATTCTCTGAAACAGATGTAAGTATAGTGTGTTTTTCGGAAAATGAGAAAGTTTTAGACTGTAAATTAATGATTGTGTTAAATCATTATTTTTTTATCAAAAAGTTCATATATCACAATTTCAAAATTGAAATATATGGAGATAACGAACAGTACTTATGCTCAAAAGTCCACTAAAAATACAAAAAAAGGGAGCAGAACAAATACAGACTTCCAAAACATCAGAGATGAGATCAGGTGCCGTGGAGGATTGAGCATCCCCTGCCGACTGGTCACACCCGTCATGTGCTCCTTTTCATGATCGGGAATTACTGGGAAAACCCGTTGTCAGTTCAGAATATAAATAATGGACTAACGATTAGTATAAAAAACGTCAGTCACCATTTGACTCAATCATATATCACAACTTCAAGATCCATTTGTTTTAAACTTGTGACTTTTGAAATTTAATTTATTACAATATTGTGCAGTGGAAACACAGTCGGCAAGGAATTATACTTCCAAGGACTACATAAAAAATTTCAAAAATAAATTTGAGACAATGTTTATTTGAAAAGAATGGTTGTTTCGAGACTCAGCATATATTACCAAAGAATGTAAGCTCGGGGAAAAACATAAAAATATTTTCCCTTGAAAGAAAAAAATGCATGAGATCAAAATACCCAGCTTATTAAAACAGCTTGAACTACGTAATGTTGTAAGTAAATTAAGGTTTCGTACATAAAAAAAGAACATAGAAATCCCCATTGGTATATTCTACATTTTTCTCATAAGATAAATTATCTTTATGCAGATAACCTGGAAAAGATTAGATTATAGAAATGGAAAATTTATATGTTATTGGTCAGTTATGATTTTTCTTTTCCAAAAGTATTGTTAGTGAAGTTGAATTTAAATACAAAAAAAAAAATATTTATTATTAACATAAAAATAAAGAGAAATTTAAAATGATTGGTTTCTTTGAAGTTCAAGTGAAAACATTTGGTATTATAATTTTGTGCTTTCTTTTCTTCATAAAAATGATGCAGAGTATATTTGTGTGCACAAATTCTACAACAATATTCATTTTCAATAACATGCCTTCTAAAATTACTTTATTTATAAAAAGCACAAATAAATATAAAAAAAATACAAATAATGAGAAGCAATTTTTTTTTACACATGATAAAATAACATAAAATAAATATCAGTATTTGTTGGACGGAATAAACAGCTATAATAAAATCTTTTTTTTTTAACACATGAATATAAACTGGTAAGAGGTATAAGATCTTTAATAGGAAGAAATTGCATTGATCTACGTTTGTAAAAAAAAAAAAAAAAGAAAAGAAAAGAAGCAACAATCAACATAAAATACACTGTCAACTTGCTGCATCCAACTTAGAATTTTAAAATCATATTTTTTTCATATAGTCCATACAATCTTTGGTAAGATGTGTGGTGGTTCACTTGATAAAATGTTAAGCTACTAGAATATACGAGTATAATATTCATATACTAAAAGCGAAATTATGCATGAAGTTACTTTATTAAAAAGCATTAATTAAAATTGGAATAAAGCATATCCTAACTTTAAATTGTAAAACAAATTCACACAAGAGTGCCCGTTAGAAGCAAGTTTAATCTGTTATAAACATACTTTGAAATCACAGGATTTGAAATTCACGTGACTTCGCTGCAAGCATAAATTTTACTATATTTTTTTTTAATGCATGTACCATGCAACAATATATATTCTCAATAATATATAAAGAACATTATAATTAAATTGGTTTGTCACAGATTGTTCTAAATTTCTATAAGAACTTGATTTTTGTAACCAAAAAAAGTTATTTTTTCAATCAGTAATTAACACTCCAGTATGTAGTACTTTACATACGTAATACATGTAAAAAAAAAAAAAAAAAAAAAAAAAAAAAAAACTATGCATTCTTAATATACCAAAGACTTAAAATCTTAACTTTGATACATTACTACTAGCTCCTATACTATTACAATTTCCCTATTGAAAATACCGGTACTTATGATTGCCTTCTTTGTTATTGCAATATAAATTTTACATGTTTGTTGAATCAATTCAATGTTTAAATCATATAATTCTGGATGGGAAAGTGTATTTTCCTTAGTAATTCTATTATTTATTGTTTGAAACAAAATCCCATACTTGTGCATATGTATCCGCACTTGGTAAATGTATAATTAATGACTACGAGGTAAACAGTCAAACTATTGTCCCGAGATAGTGGTGAAGACCTTGGAAAATGTTGCCCAAGGCCGAAGGCCTCGGGCAACAGTTTCCCAGGTCGGCCTCAGGCAACAGTTTCCCAGGTCTTCCCCACTATCGAGAAATATTGTATATATGTTTCACCGAGTAGTCTCTTGAATAAGTGTTGTATTACCTAACCTACTATATAATTAACTAAACTGGAATAAACACAAACAAACAATCAATAAAGAGTTTTAACAACTGTTTATCCACATACCAGTCTATTAATTACCTGAACACAGAATGTAAAGATTAAATTAATATTTAATAATTTTAATTAATAGTTAATAAATTGATTATTTGTGTGTTTTTATTCCAATTTAGTCAGTTAATGATATAGCACGTATATAGTGATCATCAAAACGCTTGAATATCACGATGACGCTTTAAACAGGCAACAGTTCATTCTGTGGCCCGGTCAACAGTTTGCTGTTTCATGATCACGCAAAAACATAAAATGAATCGTGAAACAGCTCAAAATGCCTAATTACATTTTACATGTATATAGTAGGTTAGGTAATAATGGTAACTTTTGACTAATATGTGATTTAAAGCAGAAACGGAGTCCACAAAACTCCAACATAACCTTCTCAGACAACCTTAATGTAACAACAGGAGAGAGTGTTTACAAAGGGTTTTCTTTGACTATTACAACATTCACATTCATATGGGGTCAATCAAAATAGACATGTTGAGCAGTGATGAGTATCGTGAAGTGTCTATTCGGCGGTGGTTCTCGACCGTTTGTGTCGTCGGGCCGCTAGCTTGGCCTCCAGTCCCTGCTGAAGGCGGGCCTTATTCATCTCCTGGGCCTTCTGGAAATCACTGACTTCTTTCTCGTGTTGTTTCTTTAGTTGTTCAATGTTACCTACACAAAATAGAACATTACTAATATAAAGGCAATTTCGCTATGATATGTATACTAATCCTTTATCACTGAAGTAGTTCCTGGATTGAATTTTATTCTCAAGAAAAAGAAATTTATTCAAAACGTGATTTTTTTTTCAATTTTTTTAATGAGGTTATTCATGGAAGGATATGGAGATAACGAACAATATTCAATATCAAAATAGGAGCAGAGCAAACACGGACCTCCAAAACATCAGAAGTGGGATTAGGTGCCATGGAGGAGTGAGCATCCCCTGCTGACCGGTCACATCTGCCGTGTGCTCCTTGTCATGATCGGGAAATGATGAAAAAATCCGTCGTCATCTCAGTGTATATTAATGGACCAACAATTGGTATGAAAAACGTCAGTCAGCATTTCACTCAATGATAAATTGTATTTGCTGACAAGGTCATTGTATCTACCCTAATACTTATGAAATGATGACTTATAAAAAGTGAGACTGTTGATATTCTTGTTTCATCAACTTGAAATTGTCCTTATGTAAGCCTTTATGAACACAGTGTACACAGTTGTTTTTGTAACAATTTAGTCGTTTATCATCTCAGGAAGTTCAACTTTTGAAGATTAGCTTTATAACAAATATTAATATTTTAAGCTGTAATTTTGGGAATAAATGGACCTTTTTTAACCAGGCAATTATTTCATCTGATCCTTCAAGATACCAGCATGGTGAATTCCTCCAAAAACTTTTAAATTAAAATTCATTTGCTAATTAATGGCATAATCTTACCGAACAAATCCTCGCCGGAGGGGGGTGGTGCCAGCTCACTCAGGGGGACGGGGGTGGGTGCTGGAGCCACGTCTTGTCCTCCAGGTTTTAACTAGACAAAGATAAATAGTATATGTCTACATAGAGATATGTTTACAATGTACTGGTAGTCTTTCAATGTAGATATTAAAAAACGGACGATTCCAAAATGCTGAACATTGATATGTATTACATACCAAGTTATTTACTCATTGTAATAGACAATGTCCAAAACCAGATTATATTTTGATTGTAATAGACATTGTAATAGATGGTGTTCCTTAGCAAATTATCATTTTATTGCAATAGACATTGTAATAGATGGTGTTTCTTAGCAAATTATCATTTTATTGCAATAGACATTGTAATAGATGGTGTTTCTGAGCAAATTATCATTTTATCGCAATAGACATTGTAATAGATGGTGTTTCTTAGCAAATTATTATTTTATTGTAATAGACATTGTAATAGATGGTGTTTCTTAGCAAATTATTATTTTGTTGCAATAGACATTGTAATAGATGGTGTTTCTTAGCAAATTATTATTTTATTGTAATAGACAGCATCTCTTACCGAATTATCTTCTTCATTGTCAGCTTTGAAGATAACAGCTTGGATTTCAATATCTGCTGCTTCATCATCATCGTCAGCTAGCTGTATGGCTAAGAGAAGCAATCACCAATCAAAACAGATGTAAGAAAAGAATTTAACAATCAAACAAATGTAACAATCAAAACAAAGGAAAGGTAAGAAAAGGATTCACCAATCAAAATAAAAATAAAGAAGAATTCATCAATCCAAAATGATCTGAGTAGTTACTGTGCTGTTGTATATATTGAATTTGCTAGTTTAATGATGTTTATGCAGAAGAGGGTAATTTTATCAACTTTAACAATGCATTTCAACATATAAAGTGTTCATTTCAGGATATTCTTTCTCATCTAGGCTCTTTTGCAAAACATGATGTTAAATTCTACAACATATTTGATTTTAATTTTCATTCTTTAATTTTAAGAACTATATATAAAATTGATAATAATAAATATATATATTATCTGTTTTCATAAAGATAACATTATATCTATAGATTTATAACAAATCATCTATTGTATGGTTAATTGTAAAAGTGATTTAGAATATAAAATATAAGAAAATGAATTGATATTCATATTGACTAGATAAATAGTTGATTAAATAATCAAGGCAATTACAATGAAATAAAGTATTTCTACTTAAAGAAGTGAGCTTGCATCACCAAATGGTACTGTTACTGCAAAGCCAATATAACCTAATTAAAAGGTTACTGGAAATTTCTGAGGAAGATTAATAGGAAAACCATTTTAAACATAGTTAAGTAAAGAAACAGTTTGAGTTAGCAACCACTCTCTAATGCTACAGCACTGTTTTAATTTAACATAAAAAAAAAGAAAAATAAATAATTATCTTTTCAAACTAAGAGAAATTCTATATTCTTATTACCAGGGAAAATGTATATAATGAATATAACCAAAAGACAACTCACTGAGTCATTTTCTACAGTTATGATGGCACATTACATTTACAAATGCACTAATTAAAAATTTGGGGAAGGGAATAAAAAGGGGTGAAATAGGAGTAATTCGGTGCTCAGGTAGATAAATATATGGCTTCCTTTGCTACCAGCTCACCTTGAAGTTCCCTATCTAAAAATCAAAGATTTAGGAGAAGGTCAGCATAGCATAAATTAGTCTTTTTAGCTTTTTTTTTTTTTTTTGTTTATTAAACATTAGGTGTAACATCAAATGTGCCCTTTACAAGGCATTTTCACAATGTAAACACCTGAAACAATGTCCACTCTATTGACTTGTCTTGTTTCTTTAATTTTGGTATTTTTCATGTATTAGTGGGGGAGGGGGCAAGAGGATATCTGCATGTTATATTTTTCTTCTATTTTGATCAAGTGCTTTGGATAGAAATATTTTTCTTACAATAAAAGAAGCATATTTTTACTTAATAAGTAAACCTAAGACAAATATCCATGGTGGACCTCTATCTAGAGTGTTGATAGTTTCTCAGTTTTGGTAATAATTCATCTTCAATTTAAAAAAAAGATGATGGAATGTTTTAATCATTGAAAAGTGTTGAAAATACTGATGTCATAAAATATGTAAAACTCTGTGATATTACAGATCAGTGCAACAGAAACGGATCAATCGTTGGCATTTCTATCTGATATTCAATAGAATTATACTATAATAAAAAAAATTGCTAAATCCAGCTCCTCAACAAAATTTATTCACCCAACATTCAAATTGGTGCAAGACTAACCTTTTAACTAAATTAGCAAGCTTGAAGCTGTATTAATCTTTGTTATACATACTGATTGTGTACTCATTCAAGATTTATATTCAAAAGCATGCTGATTATATTTATTATTTAGGCTTTCATTAAGTACCGAAATCAAAAGTAATCAGTAAAACTAGCCTAATCCTGATACTGTGTATTCCAAATTCTTGTTTAATATGACCTATACATTTGAAGTCTTTTTCAGTAAATTTTATTGAAAACAATGTTGTATAATTCAGCCATATTCTTTAATATCCAAGTTGCCATGATAGGACAAGGTTTACTGTACAATTGAATAATTTGCAATAGAAATATTTATATTATCACAAAATCTTGATGTTGATAATTTGAATTTCTCAAAGTAGAACTTTTGACTGACCACTCTAAATAAGCACACAATAGAGCATGAATATTGTTTATTCTTGCAGCAGTTGATTTCACTACCAGTTATATATTCAAACTTCATTAATGCTCTAGCCTATAACTTGAAGAAATGCAACAAATAAACCATTATTTTCAAACAGCACTAACAAAAACCCATTAAAAGAAACTCTTGTATCTATAAACGATAGATTATCTTACCAGGTTTTTTTGCTTTTTAAGGAAATAATATTAAAAACAATTTTACTCAACTGTGTACAGTACATGTAACAATGTTGCTTAATACAGTCATGCATTCTACATTTATACAAATTGGTCATATATACTCATAACCAAGGCACAATAAAAACAAATTCTTAAAATAACACTTTTTTAGATGGAAAAATAATTTATTATTGTAAAAATGTTTAATTAATGTCATATGACTGCAAATAAAACATTTAATTCTAGTTTTGAAAAGAAATAAGAAAAATAGTTTCAAAAAAAAAAATCATTTGAATTACATAGTAAATTTTCACATTTTTTATCCAGGCTTTCTACTTTACAGATATAATTTATATAACATTTATCCCCCTTTGAAAAAAGAAAATTTATAATGAACCTTAAATCATGTGAAATTTCTTTTTTTTTTCCAATTTTCTGATTGACAATTTACTTTCATTTTCACACTTTAGCACCACCTACCTGTGTCATCAATGTCCACCTTTCCGCCCTCCCCCTCTACTTTCTCTTTCAGTAGTTTTATCCTCTCAGCCCTCAGCTTTCGGTTTGCCTCAGACTCCTCCTTAGTGGCCTCCAGTATATCTTTTTCTATTACTGTGTTAATGACCTAGGGAAAAAAGGACAAAACATGTGAATTTGAGAAGCTGGACAACATTTAAACAATAAAGTACGAGGATGAATGTCGCAGCTGTTGCAGAAAAAATATATAACCCGCATAAGCAGGTTATGTAAATTTTTTCTGCAATAGCTGGGACATTTATTCCCATTCTAACAACTGAAGAAAGACATTTTATTGTTTACATTTATATCTGTTTCAATAATCATTTAAAGTAGGATTAAAAAGATTAATTATTGCATTAACAATGCGAACGTTGCGAACATGTTTACATGTATATGTTTCATTGATGAAACAGCCACTGAGCAAGAAATCGATACAGGTGACATGCCTAGTGTAACTCATGCACTGATTAACGCAATGGGTTTTCTTAAGAAATAAAGGAGAAAAAATATTCAGTGGATGTAAATATTAGTTTGTAAACACCATCTGAACTGTCAAGTTCTTGTCTGTTAAAATACATGTAACAGTTTCCACTGTGTAACCAACTAAGAGGGACATCATTGATCAATGTCAAAAGAACTTAAAAAGAAAATCTATGTAAATTTTCTCCTCCTTAACGTCAGAGTGTCTTACTTAAAAATATTCACTTTATGCAATGTATTTTAGGAATCACAGTCTTATTAGTAGAGTATGCCAGGGTATGAATGATAGTTGGAAATGTAGGAGCCCATTATGCATTATAATCCCATGTTTCCAACTATTGTTGATGTTCCTGGCATACTCTACTTAAACTAGACAGTGATTCTTAATTATAATTCCATTTCATTGTGAATAAAATTGTTAATTCAGATTTTAAAAATGTAGACTAATAAATTTAAATTACACGAGGCCTCCCATGCCAATTTCAATTGTCCTCGCCCTCTTGTCAAACACATATACAGCTGCACAAGATTTACATGCATATTTGGCTTTCTTAGCTTAAGACACCAAGACACAGGTACACAAGATTTACATGCATATTAGAGTCCTAAGATCGCTGGGCCAAATTTACATTCCAGTGGCCCACTGGAATACAGGAGTGATCAAGAAATCAAGTCAACTAACTTTCAAAGACTTATCATAAAGAAAACAAAAAAGAGATGGAAATATTTAGTAAAATTTTTGTATATCTCAGAAAAAGATTTAATTTCTCATCATCCTACTTTTACACTTACATTATCAAACCACTGTAGCAGAGCCGCTGCCCTTTTGTGTGTGACTTTATAACATTCCCCGGCGTGTTTGTGTCTGTCTGGGGACTGCATGTCTATGTATATATTATTAGTGGCCTTCTCCAGGGTCGTGACCTCCTTGGGTTTACAGTAGGGGAAGTCGATATTGTCAAGGTACTTCTGACAGCTCTGTAGATTCTGTATAGCTGCGATTAGGTTGTTTCGGGCCTCTGTGGCAATGCCATATTTCTCTTGCATGTTTCTGGAGCATACATAGGAAAGATTTGTTAACAAGAGGCCCATGGGCCACATCGCTCACCTGAGAAGCTTTGACCATTCTGTTCTTTACCAGATTTCCCCCGTGTTATACATAATGCATCCCCACCCTACCCCACTGATCATAATTTAGACATTTTGATAATCTACACTACCCAAATTATTTTAATCCATGGGCACAATGTTCACATTTTTTATCCCAGTGGTTCCTTTAGAATAAAGATTTTCAAAGATTTTTCCTATATATTTCTATTTAAAATTTTGATTCCCCAGTGTGGCCCCGCCCTTCCCCCGGGGGTCATGATTCCTACAATTCAGAATTTACACTACCCCAGAATGCTTCCACATAAGCTTCACTTTTTCTGGCCCAGTGGTTCTTTCTTTTCAAAGATTTTTCCTATATATTTCTATGTAAAACTTTGATACCCCATTTGGCCCCTTAGTTGCCTCCATATGTCAATTTCTATTACTGTGTTATACCAGGATGCTTCCAATAAGTTTCAGCATGTGAATATGAGAAGTGGTATCAGTTTGTGAAGAAGATTTTCAAAGATTTTTCCTATATATTTCTATTTAAAAATTTGATTCCCCAGTTTCCCTGCCCTTAACCCCTTGGGGTCATGATGTCAAAAGAACAATTTAAAATCTATATACTATATAGGATGCTCCACATAAGTTTCAGCTTTTCTGGCCCAGTATTTACTTTATGCAAAGATTTTCAAAGATTTTTCCTATATATTTCAAGTAAAACTTTGATTCCCCATTGTGGCCCCGCCCTTATGCAAAATAATCATGATTTGAACTTTTGTTACACTATACCAGGATGCTTCCACATAAGTTTCCTTTTCTGGCCCAGTTTCTTGTGAAGAAGATTTTCAAAGATTTTTCCTATATATTTCTAAGTAAAAATTTATTACACCATATGATGTGAACAATTTCAAACTTCACTATACCAGGATGCTTCCACATAAGTTTAAGCTTTTTTGGCCCAGTGGTTCTTGAGAAGAAGATTTTCAAAGATTTTTCCTATATATTTCCAAGTAAAACTTTGATTCCCCATTGTGGCCAAATTTACAAGTGGAGTGATCATGATTTCAACAATTTTCAAAGACTTATTACACTAAAACAAAAAAGAGATGCTTCCAATATTTTCAGTTTAATTTTTGTATCTTCAGAAAAAGATTTTTTCTGATCAACCCTTTTTTTACACTTACATTATCAAACCACTGTAGCAGAGGGGATATGTCCCTTTTTTGTGTGACAATTTAAATTCCCTTCACCCAAGAATGCTTTGTACCAAGTTTGTAAATATTATTAGTGGCCTTCTCCAGAAGGTCGTGAATGTTGGGTTTACAGAGGGGAAGTCATGTTGTCGACAGATACAGACAGACAGCTCTGTAGATTCTGTATGGCTGCGATTAGGTTGTTTCGGGCCTCTGTGGCAATGCCATATTTCTCTTGCATGTTTCTGGAGAATACATAGGAAAGAACTGTTAAAGTGAGGTTTTCTTTTTCAATATCAGATTTATATACCAAAAATCTGGAAATTTTTACTGTAGATAAATTTTTAGCAAATTTGCGAGTTCATTGCATTCGCAAAAATATTTTTCTTCAAAATAAATCACCAATAAGGAAATGTAAAAAAGCAGTGGTCATTAGCAAAATTTTGAAACGTAAAAATTTATCAACAGCACTTTGACCCGAATTCGCAAAACAAAATCGATGTAAAAATTTCCAGATTTCCAGATGCAATGCTTCCAACACATCTAAAAAATGTTCTGACCCCTCCCCTAAACACCATTTTACCAAAAAAGATCTTTTTAAAGCAATTCTATATTAATGTAGCAAATGTATAAAATGAGATTATATTTTTCTATGTTTCTTTCAAAGTACACATCAAATTAATAAATTTATCCTGCTTTTTGAACATTTAATTTTTTTCCCTGAGAATTATATTTGATAATTTCTTTATTGTATGAGAAATAATGTACTTTAGTGTGTTCAACTTTATAGCTTATTAAAATATACTCTATGTTGAAATAAAAGAAAAAAAATTGTTTTCTTTTTCCAAAAGCATAAAGTTATATGATCTTATCTTGTATTATAAGTCGCACACTTACAGAGATGAGTTTTGTATGACGGCCAAGCGTTTGTTTATACATAAGATCTTATCCTGTATTATAAGTCACACACATACAGAGACGAGTTTTGTATGTACAAGAATTTGTATACATAACATCTTATCCTGTATTGTAAGTAGCCTATATATAGAGATGAGTTTTGTGCTTCAGTATAGTAGCCTACTTACAGAGATGAGTTTTGTATGTCGCCCCAGCGTTTGTTGGCAAAGGCCAGCTGATTACAGGCGTGTTGCAGTAGGATCCTACCATTGGTCCACTTGTACTTGGCATTACCTATCCTCTGCCTCTTTTCCCTGACAAGGTCAAGGTCACTTTCCAATTTGTTTTCAAGGTCACTACCATATGCACCATCAAAAATTTCAGCTGAAAAAAAACATCTTACACATTTAATTTACACATGTTACTTATACTGGTTTCATACACGTGTTACACAGATCTAGATCTAGAGAAGTAACTTACATATGTTTCTAACACATGTAATTTACACTTGTTACTTATCCTTGTTTCATACACATGTTACTTAGAGAAGTAACTTACATATGTTACCATACATGAAAGTTACCTACGTAAGTTACTTACACAATAAGGTTTCCTGTTCCTGAACTAACTTCTCTAACTCCTCCATGGATTCTTTCGCTTTCTTCATCTCTTTGTCTTTCTCTCCTACCTGGGCCTTTACAGAATCCAGCTTTTTCTTCATTACTTCCTCTTTGTTTAAAGCTTCTAAGTATTCAGCCTTCAAGTTGGAGAAATCAATTAGAAATCTAAATACAGTAGGAGCTTGTGAGCTTTTAATGTTGAATACATATGGATGGATCTGAAAATGTTACCTGTTCTTTGGACATTGACTTGTCGAAGGCCTCCTTGTTCAGAAAGGATTTGATATCTAGCTTGTCCACATCATCTTTCTCTTTTGCTCTGTAGATAACAATCATATATTAATTTTATACATACCTAACATAAACTTCACCCACATATATTTACATCTCAAACTTCTTTGTCAGAGATAAAACTACAAATGACAAGAGAAAAAAACTGAAATTTTTTCATAAAGCTATATTGGTTCATAAATGGTTGTGGTTTAAGAAAAATGAAATGCGGAGTAGGAGTAAGTGAAAAAGAAGTGGACATGGCTAGGATGAATTTAATATCAGAATAATATTAATGTTAAGAAATATCTGTCAAACTTGTTTAGTACAAACAGGGATATTCCGATGAACCAATACATTGATGGGTAAATAAAGTACATTTATTATTTGTAATTTTATCTCGGACAAAGACATTGGAAATGTAAATATTAAAACTCATATGTCATCAGTGACCAGGGGCACAGAATCCCCAAACACTTACGTTTGTTTTTTACATTGCTCGTAGAGGTTTTCTAGATTTTTGACGGTAGCCAGTGTCTCGTCGTATTGTTTCTGGAGACTGTTGTACGTCTTGCGGATATTTTTGTTCTCCAGTATGCGGATTTTGTTGTCAAGGGCAACATATTTGTTGAGGGTTTCCATGGTTACCTCCTGAAAGCAAATAAAATGTCAGCACATTTTTTTTAAAATTCATAATATTATAAAAGATCTTATATATTCATGTATAGCCTGAGTCACAAAATAAAATGAATTGAGACTTGAAGGGACGAAATGGTATGTCAGACCCCTGGATTTCAAAATCTTTATCTGTATTAAATGATCGTTCGATGTAGAGGTCTGTCAGTGTCATGAAGCAGTTCAAAATTAAAATTATTAACTTGACTGCTTGTCAAAAATCTAATGTTATCTGTAAAGTTGGGTATTTGTTTAAAAAAAGGAAACATTTTATGAGCAAACAAAATTTGACTTATTTAAGTGTATGTCTGATTCATGATCCTGGGGCCTAGACGTACAGTCTATGCAAAAGACATCAGACCATTGAGCCTGATAGATGTGTATAGTGTCTCTGGTATGATGCGTCAGAGTGCGGCTTTAAACTATACTATTTTGAGACAGTCATCTAGATGTTGGTTATTTGTAAAAAAAAATATTGCATAAATTCAAATCCATAAATCAATGCATTTGATTGAAAACTTATAGACCAATCTGCAGTATAAGATTTCCTTGGTTCTGTTTTTTCAGTTTCTCATGCGTTTCATTTTTTTTACATTAGATTTTTGGTCTGACACAGTTTGATTCAGTTGATTCAGTATGTTGATTGAATACACAGGATTCAATGTCCTATGTGGTAAAAAAAAATGCTTTTGCATAGACTCTACGTATGTCACCTGCTGAGACAATTTACAGTGAGTAAAAATTGAATTGACCCTGATATGTATAGGCAATCTGTAAAATTTGGATTTTGTCTAAACTAAACTAGAGGATTACATTTAATCAAAATATATGATTATTCTACTTACCCCAGACATGTTGGTGTAGTTTTAACAGCAGGCCTAGTGATGGATTAGGAAAAAGAAAACACACACCGGTAAAACAAGATTTAGATGGAAAACAGGTTAAATAGGGTGCAAAACATTGGGAAGTGATTATCAACGTGAATTCAAAACTTGGCAATTCATTTAAGTCTTTTTGGTTAAGGATTCTATTCTTCAGTATACATGTTATTTTATAATTTAGATAAATAGGTTAATGGACATTCATTGATTGTTCAGTGTTTATCATCATAAATAATTAAAATTTGATCGTATTTAACATTTCTGTAGATTAATAGCTGATATATGAACAAAATTATATGCACTTGCTTAAACTAAATAAAAATATAGCTGGAGGATAGCAGGGGTGCATGGATTGAATTCAAAAATACATGTAAACACAGGTGCTCGCACCCCCCCCCCCTCCTTTTCCTCCATTTTCGTGTTAATTTTGATATAGTGCAGTGATATCTTACAATGCTCTTTTAGCCTCTCGAATTCACTTACCTTTTTAAAAAACCTCGCTTAAAGAGTGCATTTAACCAAGATAAACTTGAGAAATACCCCCAAACCTTACCTAGTACGCTGCAGCGAAGCGATTTATTTACTTCTCAATGCTTGCGAAATTAGGGGGAAGTGACGTCATTTCCATAGCAATTACTACAACAGTGAAGCCGGTCATTAGGCAATGCGACTTGTAGGCTCCTATTTGTAATAAACTATTTTTCTGATGTAGATCTCTGATTGTGGATTTCAAATTTACAATGAAGAGAAGTCCCCTTTATTCTATTTCCTTTATTCTTTTTTTTCAAAATTAGAGAATAGAGAAGGAAGCGCGAAGGGGGGGGGGGTCCAGTTGTAAATTCAATGTTGTGGGTCTTTAGAATATTCAGAATATTTTAGAATATTAATTCAACCAATTTGGGCCAACAGTGGAGCATACAGAACAATGTCCAAAATCATCACAGTTATATATACAAAAACAGAACAAAAGAAACATTGTATAATGAACAGAGAGTTGGCTATCTTCTTTTAGGATGTATAAAATGTACATAATAAATGGCCTATGTATAATATCTGCAATATTTTGTTGTTTTCTCTTATTAAAATTTGCACTTATAAGTTGGCATAATAAAACAAGTCAACAAACTCGGAATCTTCATTTGACATAATCCATCTAAACAGGTCAACATTGTTAAACAATAGGATCAAATTAGGAAAGGTTTTAAAGATTTTCTTGAGTCATTGTAAAGTGGACATTCTAGCAAAAAATGCAATTCATCCTCAGTTGGACTTGAGGTGCAGTAGCTTTATTTTGGTTTTATGATTATCTGCCATAGGCGTTGGAACGGGGGGGGGGAGGGGGCTTAGCCCCCCCCCCTACTTTGAATCTCTTTTTTATTTCACACGAATTCAATGTTGTGGGTCTTTATTACACTCAGCGATTATCTTAAATTTAAGATTAATAAAAATTCTAAAAAAATAAATAAATATTTCTAATTTAGATGTAAAGTTAGGTGTATGCATGCAAGGCCCAAACAAGGTAATTACATTTCTTTAAGGGAGGGGGTTATAAACTACCAAAATTTCCATGACCAACAAATAAAACACCCCCCCCCCTCCCCACCAAAAAAGAAAGAAAGAAAGTGCACGTGTGTAGATACAGGTCATGTGTTGTAATCTCGATCCATGCACATTTTTCTGTGAGCTTTCAACTTTTATAAATAGCTTGCATGCCTCTTGACAATGAAATTTGAAACCATTTCATATGAAATATTAATTTTAAGAGTTTGTAAGAGAAAATTCAAATGAAAAACATTTATTATATATTTTTATAGGTCTTTTAAATAATTTAATTTCAATTATATCGTCGAAAGACTACGTGCAATTCAATGTAAGATCCCAAATCCTTTATTATTTTTCTACTAACTATTCAACGTATCGCTGAACATTTTATGTAACTCTTGGAGATGATATCAGTAAAATGAAAAATACTCACCCAGCCCTCAAGTAAACGTTTTTGGTATAGTTTCTGTGCAAGTTTTAACTTTGCTTAATTTCAAACAATTTATAACTAAATCTTATTTCTGAAGAAAATCTGGTAAAATGGCATGACATTATCTCCGAGAAAATGATTGGCGTATACCTTTTTGTGAAACCCAGGAGTTTCCGGGGTCTCTGTCTTTGATTCACTGTAAGCCTAGCTCTGTCGTTTTCTGCATGAGTTCAATTCTCGCATTACAATGGAAAAATAAATATTTGACCAGGGGAGGGGCATCAATTTCACAGTCAATGCATGCAGATCGAGGTTTTAGAATATGGATGTTTGGAGGAAGGGCAGTTAAGTGATGTCGAAGCCCGCGGTGGGGAGAGGTGCAATACATTTCGGGATTTTGGGGGTACCATTTCTTTTCCGAGACTCTATCTATACCATTGATTGACTTTCACATATTGTATTCTATTTTACATATATAGTGCAATTGTGCACATTGGCGTCGGAAGCAAATTGAAAGGGGGGGGGGGGGGCGTAAAAAAAAAACAAAAACTTTTAGACCCCCCCCCCCGGTTCCAACGCCTATGCCATATAATCATAAAACCCAAGTATTTCTTAATAAATATTAGTTTTGTCATACTTTGAAACACGCCCCGCCCTCTCAAATCCAACAGTGGGCATGTTTGGTGTACTGAAATTTTATGTAAACATTTTTCTTTTGATTTTTAAGGATAATGTTTGAAATATTTTTTAAATTAATTTTAAAAACATTTTTTTTTAATTTTCACAGCCAAGGCCTTTTGATAACGAGTATTAAATATGTTTACCGATATTAATTGTGTGTTGTTCTGGTTGTTAATATTTCAGGAAATATGATGAAGATGAGAATCATGTGGAGTTGGTTGTTTCCCGAACCATAGACGTTGAGTCCATTTGGATTTTTCTTTTACTCTCGTAGATTGCATTCGGGCTCCAGACAGACCAGTATTACGTTACGCTACAACCCCATATCATGATTATAAATATGCATGGAGGAAATACATTTAGAGTGATCGTTCCTACTTTTAATCACGTGACGTCACCAAGAAAGCCCATTGTGACGTCGTCAAGGAATAATTCTTTGACGTCACAAACAAAAAATTGGCAGCCTTATCAGCTGATAAAAGTGGTGAGTATTTCTATTGCATGGAATTCTTTTAAAATCTCATTGTTAAATCTTAAAATACTAATATGTTACAATCATGTATAATAAATGTTATTAATTTATAGAATGTAATCTACGAAAATCTGCGATAATTTACAAAGGGACTTTAAATGGAATTAAGAAAATATGAAAGGAGTATACATGGGCATGGTACATGGGAAATGTAAAAGTTCTGTGCCACGGTTGTTTAGAATAGTAGTGTCACATACTAAAAAAGTGTGGGATGGAGTAAGCAAATCTTCACAACCAATTATTCATATATGCTTCAGTATATATTAAGTTAATATAAACAAAAATCTCAGAAATCCCTCTGCGTTTTGTAAATACATTATCCCTTTTTAAGCTTTCCTGACGAAGTAGGGTGAGATTTATATGGTTTCTTGCCTCAGGCATTTAACCTGACTTACTAGTATCTTTCTCGTGTCTATTCTCTAATCTAATTTAATAATTAATGCGTTATATATTTTTATCCCCCCCCCCCACACACACACACACATTTGAAGTCGGGGGTATAAATTGATCGGGATGTCCGTCTCAGGTACGTTGGTCTGTTACGCTTTGGGGTACCCATTTTTTATCTACAACACCTCCTCTACTACTGAATGGATTATTTTTTATGACAATCACGGAATCTTTGTTACATAATGGGTGATGATGCCATTGTGCACCTCCTATTTCATTTTTTGATCTGACACATATTTCGTGTTTACCAAAGCAAAGCACGGGCATTATTCTTATACACATGCCCCCAATTGTGATTCGATTCAATCATGCTCAAATTACTGACTCTAGATCTGGTAAAAAAAAAGGGGGGGGGCACATACAGTAGGTCATAGGTAAAGTGTATTAAAAATATTCCAAAGATATGTTATAATTTCTTTTTAAAAAGATCAAAATATAAAGCATATTCGCTTTCTTTGGAATCTTTATTGTTCAAAATATGTACAAAGAAGACATTATTAAAATTTTACATGATAATGATTGCTTACATGTTTTTTTTTTAAAGAGCACGTGCTTCACTTTGTTATGTTCACACATAGTTTTATATCATGAACCATTGAGGCTACCGCAGAATCACAATTTGAGAGGGGGGGCAAAACTTTACAGAAAGATTAAGAGATTATTTCTAATAATATTTTGAAAAATCAGGACAAATGACTACAATGAGCTGTACTATCTGTTGGTCTTAAGATGGTTAATCATTCCTAAGAGATAACGAGGACCCCCCCCCCCCCACCACCTCTTTAGTAATTTCTTTAAATTAAAACATACGGACACAGGTTTGAATACCAGCTGATTTTTTTTTTCAATTTCTTTTGTAGGATACATAATGGATCTTGGCGTGATTGAGGTAACCTTTTTTTCATGTTTCAATACTTTTTGAAATCACAAGTTAATAGGGTGTTTTTCTTTCAGAAATATAGAAACTGATGAGGGAGTGGGGGTCGAATATTTATACATGAATTCTGAAAATTGGATAAACAAATTTGTGTATAATTTTTTGGGGGTTCGCTGTTCGAGTTTTGAAGTATTATATGTACATTGTATTACACAATAAAAATGACAAGATGCGAAAAGAAATATTTAACCTGCCCCTTTTTGGTATAAAAATTCAAGTAAGTGTCTATTCGTAAACAAAGGAGAGAGACTATGAACGTGCTGCTTCAGTTAAAGAGGACTTTTATTCGTTTCTCATTGGAACACTCATTAATTTTCGCGATACCTTATTTTCGCGAGATAGTCATTGACTATATATATTAGCTAGATAAAATTTTTACGAATTGTGGTCATTGCGGTATAAAATCTTAAGGAATTCTATTATCATACGTGAGAATGAAATTTCGCAAGCATTCTGCCTCGCGCTATTACGCGAAAATAAGGTTCTCGCGAATAAATAGCGATTTACAGTAATTACGGATCATAATGTTTTTAAAATACTAAAAATATGTACAGTAATATTCGGAATTCAAATGAAATCAATTCAAGTTTGTTTGTTTTTTTCAATCACAAATGCATGCGACTACATTATACAAAATATATTCCAGGGCCTCATTTATAAGAGAACTAAAAATAAGACAAATGATAATTTTCTCTTTCAGACGGACGGAGAGACCCAGAGTTAATTTTAGTCCCCTGCCACTTTAACCAGTAGGGGACCAAAAATATATGACTGGCACAAAATAAAAAAAAAAAATCATAAGCCTTAGCTTAGAAATTTTTTATATTCAGCTGAAATCAATTCGACATTTCTACATTTAAGCAAATGTGCCTCTTTTTAGCAATATATTCCTGTAATATAATTAGTACTTTATTTTACAGGAAGAAGACGATGAAGTGGAACAGGAGCCTGTAGTCACCCACATACTACCGAGAAGGGAGCTGGTAGGCTTCTATTTATATATACGCAGTATCGGCACGCATAGATCTATATATATATACACATGACCTATTCCATACCATTTTAGCTCAACTGATCTGAAATTAAAGCTCAAGTGAGCTTTTCTGATCAAATTTTGCCTGGTGTTCGTCTGTCTGTCTGTCCATCTGTAAACATAAGATTTTCAACTACTTCTTAAGGACTAATTTGACCCAAATTTGTTACAAAGCATCCTAGCTGGGTGGAAAGGAAATTCAATTTTGTTTAAATTCAAGTTAGATCTAGTCATGACCCCCTCTCCATTATAAAGTTATAGTTTATCATATATGAATATGAACTGATAGCAATTTCCCGGGTAGTTTAGATTCAGTTTGTTCAAATATGACACTTGGAGCTAGAAAAGGCGTTTTACATATGAATGTATATCAAAAGAAATTGGCTGATGAAACATATTGACAAGAACATATTGACTCAGATGAGCATCGTGGTCCATGGACCTCTTGTTATACATGTATAATCAGCTGTAATCTGCCAACCCTACATTATACACCATACGCAATTTTTTCCCCCAGGTTAATCTTCCATGTATACTAAAAAAGAGGAAAAATATTTTTGTCCCCGTAATCTAAGATTCGGGCGTATATAGTTTGTGCCCTGTTTTTCCGTCGGTCAGCCTGTCTGTTTGTCCATTTTTTCCGCACAAACTTGTACCTCGGCCATAAGCTTTAAGTATGCTTGAAGTGGATCTATGGCTTTCATATTTCACAGGTGTATTCCTTGTGACAAAAACTATCTCCGGGTACCTCTGAATTAGACCTTTGACATGTGCAGACTATGACAGGGTCTTTCTTAGGGTAAAAAAGTATTTGACCTGATGACCTTGAATTTAAGTTTGACCAACTTCCCAAAAAAACTTTAACCTTGACCATAACAGTTTAACCGTTAGGACTATAGGAATTTTATATTTCACAGGTGATTCCTTTATAAAAAGACCTTCTTTGGATACAGACAATTTGACCTTTTAATTTTGACCTTGAATTTTACTTGCATTTGAGAAACTTTAATTCTCGCCATAATAGGCCATACGGCAGCATCAGTGTTTCACAAACACATCTTGTTTGTTTAATAAATCTTTTTTTTCTTATTTCTTTGACTTCTATCTACCCTCAGACCTCCACTTCTACAATGATACGAATGCTCATAGCAAGAGAGCAGCTTGAGAGCAGCTACGAGAGGATGAGACCAGTAAGCTCTTCTTTTCTGTACAACCAGTAAAAATCTATCGACTACCATTGCTAAAGTTTGGAAATAGAAATTTTGGTTTACAATGTGGTCTAGATAACACTTATTGAAAGAAAAAGAAGTATCAATTGCGAAAGAGTAATTTCAGAATGACCGTAAGGTAACTTTCGACATGTAACTGTTTGACTTGAAAATTTATTGATTGAAGATATTGTTTTATTTACACTAGTCATCAACTGCCGCAGTTATGCCAACCATATCTGAGGATTTAGAGGAAATGGAAAAGGTAATCACGCTTGCGCACTAACCAATTTACTATTATCAATAAAATTGTGTATTTTTTATGTGTGTACCGAGAAAAAATGGTCTTAACCAAAATAAAATTGTTTGAATTTGTTTGTATATGATAAAAGTTTTCTTTTGTGTACGTATATCGTATCCACAAACACTAGACTATATATTTTTTTTTATTTAAAAAAAAAACAACTTACCTATTAATGAAATGATGAATGTGAGGGAATCATCGGAGGGTTGTCGATTGCCTATATCTAGTAAATATTTTTTTTTTTTTAATAAAAAAGATATGTAAAGTTAAGTGCCTGTGATCATAACAGAATCCTCTTATGCATGTTGCCCGCGTGGCGTAGTGGTTAGGGCGTCTACTCTAGACGCGCGAAGTAAGGATTTGATCCTTACGTCGCGGGTTCGAATCCACTGTTGGAAATGGAGACTGGTTCTATGTCGCAGCAGAAAAAGATCCCTCACTGCTCATGCAATGACCGCAAGTGCCGAGTATAGAAAAAAAATTGCAGCTCTCTACCGGCGGTGGTGTCTCAATATGAGTGAAAAATTCTCGAGAGGGACGTTAAACAACATATAATCAATCAATCTCATGTGATAATAGCTCTTATATCAAAATTCTACTGAACTTATAATAAATCAAGGTTGTTTTTTCTTTAAGACCTCACCAATTCCATCCAGAACTGGGTTTTCTAGAGAGAGCATTGAAGAGGAGGTATTGTATTCTTAAAGTTTTCACTATTTAAAAAGTGTTTATACGCAATATTGTTGCGTCTTTTATGAGATGTTTGTACAAACCATTTTCAGAGCTCAATTCAATGAGTTTATATTCAGGATCATTTCAAGATATTCAGTTTATGACATTTTTCACATATAGGCTAGGCGACTGTCCTTAACAGCCATTCACAGCGCATTCTCAGCGGCCGTATCTGTATCTGAGGGCGGATGCAGGGCAAGATTTAAGGTAAGAAAACGTGGACAAATTTGTAAAAACAAAAAATCATAAATTTGGTGGTCAAGTCCTGTTTTTATTTTTAAAAAAAATGATTTTTAAATATTTTTTTAAAATACCTTCTCAATTTGAAAGGTTGAAAAAATGATGGAGTTGAAATTTTACTCAATCAAGTTAATTAATATCTTGAAATGATTACCCCTTCAATGATAATATGAGCTTTATTTTATATATTTAAAAAAATCTCGTTTCAGCCGAAGCGTAACATCCTGAGGGGCCTCGTGTCCTGCCTGCGATCCTGTTTTAGTTGCATGTGCTAGAGATGAATTCAAAGTAACAATATTTTGTTCTCAAAAACAACTTCGAGTTATTGAAATGCTGTTATACATTTCATGTCAAGCTGTGTTTATTACTTGAAAAAAAAAATAGAATATTTGTAACAAATTCTGTATGTTTTACAAAATCGCAGGAAAAAGCCCAGATCGAGAAACGGAAGCGGACAAGCGGAAGAGAGAGAGGAAGCCCGTATTCAGAAAGAGATTGAAGTGGTCCACAAGGAGATAGAGAGACTCGAGAAATATATCAACGTCAATATCACTGCCGAATGAATTTGACTCTTAATATCACTGACTAATATTTAATTCATACAATTATTTTAAAGCTTTTAATTTTGAATATTGGACCCAAAGAGGGGACACCCGAGCTCTTTATTTATTTTTTTGGCGTTTAATGTAATCCATTTCCTTTTTGAACCCTTTAAACAAAATTCTTTTGCAATGTGGGGCCTTGGAGACAGATCTAATGCTAGCATTGCGGAACAAAATTTACTTATTCCAAAATGTTCACGTCTTTCGGAACTTTGGCCCTATAAATACTCATTCCGTCAGGGATCAGGAATGGGTATTACGTTGGAACATCCATCCCGTCAGGGATCAGGGATGGGCGTTCCTCGTCAAAAACTTCTAAATTGTAAAGGAAGCATCCATTTAGAGATGTTCTAAAGCTCCGTTGTCCTCTCTTTTCAAAATTCTGTTATTCAAATTATTAATAAACACATTATATAGCATGTTATCATTTTTTATCTTCTTTTTTTCTTATGCCAAAAGGGTTCGGCCTTCTCTGTATTTGGTGCCAAAAAACATTATTAAATGTTATTAATAAATATAGAACTGCGTTATACGTGAGATGAAGGTGCAGTGTTGCATAAAAATGCACTTGAGTCTTCAAAAACTCGCATACCCTGTATTACTTGTTGTCATTCTTGTCACATTCGCGCTATTTAGTTTTGATTATTATACTTCTGTTAAAATGTTTCCTACATAAAGTTAAGAAGGTAAAATAGCTATCTTTGATAGTCCACGCATAGCAAAGCTATACCCCGGGGTTTAGTTTTTGCTATCCACCCTCGGAAAATTTTCATGCAATTTTTGCCACCAGTTTTGATTTCCAGCGATAAATCTATTGCATGATTGATGATGTCATAATGACTTCAGTAGCATTGTGACGTCATCATGATGTCAGATTATTCTTGTAGTATTATCTTACTCAAAAAAAAATATTCAAACCTCAAAAACTGTATTATACATCAGTATAATAAAACATTTATCCAATGGTTGTGAGTGGGATAGCTCTTTTCATCAAAAACTTTAACCTTGCCCATAACTTTTGATTTAGTGGAGCTATGACTTTCATATTTCACATGTGTATTCCTTGTGACAAGCCCTTTCTTTGGGAATAGTTCCCTGTCGACGGGTTTGATTGACCTTGAGCTATCCCACTTTTACACAAAAATTCCATTTTACTTTGGATAAGTGTATACTGTATTATTCACTAGTTGATTTAAATCCCCTCCCTCCAACAGGGTCTAAAATATGCATAAGATATAATAAATCGGGTTTTTTTTTTGTCGTGTGGATGTGGATAAACAGCCTTGACCTTTTGACCTTGACCTTGACCCCCACCACAACATCCTTCTTTTCCGAGATTCCTACTGGATCCGCCAATGTTATTGCTCATGATTATTTTTTCATTCAAAGTAAAAAATTAACTTTGCTTTGCGAGAAGTAAGTCGTCACAACACACAGCAGGATAATCCCTACGGTTCTTTCAGGCAGGGGGTGTGAGGGTCTCCAGTGGGTCCATGGCAAAGCCCTGTTTGGAGCATAGGGGCACAGAAAAAAACTTTAACCTGGGTTTTCAGTAAGTATTTTATATGTAATCCTTGTAAAACCAGGCACAACAACTTTGACCCTTTGATCTTGGAATTGGTTTTAAAAAAACATTTTACTGTACACGACAATAATTCACTTTTTACGGATACTTCATAGCCTAGGGAATGCAACTTAAGGTTTTTAAACTTGATTTTTAAGAAAACTTATACTTGTTCATTCAATAAAATGACCTATTTGATTTGAACATACATTGGCGTCGGAAGCAAATTGAAAGGGGGGGGGGGGCTAAGTTTAAATTTTTTTAGACCTTCAAAAATACCTGACAAGCAAAAAAAAGGAAATGTGTCCATTTCCGGGGGGGGGGGGGTGTGCTGTGGGCCAAACCTACACCAGTACCATATATTCTTTTTCAAACACCACCTCTTTCCTTATTTTTTTTTTTTACCTATACTGCATAGTGTCTATGGAAAGTTGGGGGGTTAAACTTACACCACAATGTTTAAAGCCTAGCTAAGTCTATGTTTGGATAAAAAGGGGGGCCGGGTTAAGCCTCCCCTGCACCACCCCCCCCCCCTCCCCACCGGTTCCGACGCCTATGGTGCAACTCCTTTTTTACTGTTTGATCCGATGTGTATACATATTTTGGGTTTCCATGGTAAAACATGGACACTGCCATTCTTTCAATAATATTAAAGGGTACCCATTTCCTATACCACTGTATAAAAATTAATGATACTTTCACAAATTCTTCAGTTACATATATAATGCCCTTGTTCACCTCCTATTTCACTTCTTGATATGCATGACGATTATTTCGGATCTCCCGGAGCAAAATGGACTTTTAATTTGCAATTATAGTCATATGGGAGGGAGGATATCAAAGAATGAGCTCAATGCACATATGTAGTAAGTATGGGCCTAGAGAATATATCTTCATTATTATGTACATTCAATAATTTTATATTTACAGGCATTGAATTCTATATCCCCTTCAATTCCCGTCTGAGTGTTTCATAGATATTAATAACCGAACGAAAGCTAGAGTTTTTCCCCTTTAACGCACTCGAATGTGTTTCGTATTTTCCCGCCAATAATTATAAGTCAATTAAAATCAATTTCCGGTTGCTGATGTTCTGTTCTCGATGAAAGACTATTTTCTACACGATAAATAGAAACAAATGTGAAATGTAAACATACAGAGAAAGCAGGGCTTGAAGAATTGTATGTGCAGCGCTGGGAGCTAAAATCGATTTCTGGAATCAATATTCTCGCATTTTCCGATGTAGATTTAGAGTGACGTCCCTTGGATTGCTAATTAACATAATCAATACGGTGTTGGTTGCATTGCATGCTGTTCGCCTGTTTATCATAAGTATCTTCAAAATGGCGTACGGATAGAATATTCCTGAGTAAGGATTGTGTTTCAATAATTTTCCGACTTCATCGTGTATATTTACAATTTTAACTTGTTATAAACACACGTCTTTTTATCTTCTTCATCATCATGGAATCTGAAAGGCCATAGGTAATGTATATAGAGTCACAGGCAGAGCCCAGTAATTTGTGTATAATGGAAGTAACGCTGGAGTTGATATGTATGTGTACAGTAAATATGGTTTCATTAATAGATATTGTATAGATATGTACGAAATTTTAATATAAACAGATAAATTAAACTGACCATTGTTTGGGTTTGATATCAAATGTAGTATATTTCTTCTTTGATGTAGAGGTAAGAAGTTCAAACTGAAACTTGCATGATAGGCAGGAAAACAAAATAAATTATTCACATGTGTTTTGGTGTAACTGTAAATGAGGAATGTATTAATAATTTCTAACTGTATACAATCAACATGTTTATACAGCTTATACAGTGCATATACACATACTGACATACATACAAATATGCACATACATTAATTGAATGCTTTAATGGGTAAAAAGTACAAATTTTATTAAAAGTAACAAATAAGTCTATATGTTGTGAGAATATGGAATTGAAAGAGAGGGGGTTGGCTGTCTCCTTCATGTGTATATATAAAGTGCTTATCAGCTGTTTATTGGGTTTCATTAATCATTGTTAATAAAACCCATATGTCTCTACCTTAACTTCAACTGATTCACATGATCGGGAGGTTGTGAGTTCAAATCTTGGATGCGGCTGACCTAACTCATGTCTCAGTTGAATTAATATTATTGTACATGTATAGAAATTCACACTTTCAAAATTTAGCCCAATCACAGCAAGGGAATTGTGAACTAGAGTTACACTCATCCGCACCATATATCCTATGTACAAATAATTTTTAATTGTATTCTTCAATAAAGGCACCGGTTATGGTAGCCTAGTGGTAGAGCATTCGCTTCATGATTGGGAGGCCTGGGTTTGATTCTCGTTCGCGGGGCTGTGTCAAACCTAAGGTGTAAACATAGGTAGTGACTGTTCCCTCACAAACGCTTGGCAGTAGAAGTGAAAGTCACGGGTCTTTCAGATATGACCTTAAAAACGTAGATCCTGTATCCCTGTTTTATTTACACCCAATTTCTCATGGTTTAGGGCAGGATAATTTTTGTAGTCCAAGACTTGAGACAGGGAAAATTTAAAATGGGGCAAAATTGTCTGCAAGCGTAAAAAGACAAATTAATAGCCCTGTACACATTATTACATCAGGCTTGTAATTTATGATGCCTTATCTTTGTAGGTGTGACAATGTCACAGTCCAGTGACCCCGGCCGCTGACCCCGGGGATGGACATAAATGACAACACAAGACAGAGAAACCGTGTCACAGATAAACAGGTAATCACACCCAGAACTCATTCCACAGTCTGGTCAATTCTGGCCATAATGAAGGTGGAAATAAATTCTACAAACTTTAATTGGTAAAACCTGCACCATACAGACAAAAATTGTATAGACTTGCTGTAAATTCACACATTTTCGAGGGGTCAAATTTTAGTGGTTTGAGAAAAAAGACTCTGAATTGGTTCATAGGGATTGAAATTCGTGGATAGTTGTAAATGTATGTAACATTTTATAGTTAGTGGTGGACATGAATTCGTGGATATTTGTAAATGTATGTAACATTTTATAGTTAGTGGTGGACATGAATTCGTGGATATTTGTAAATGTATGTAACATTTTATAGTTAGTGGTGGACATGAATTCGTGGATATTTGTAAATATGTAACATTTTAAGGGCATTGGATTATTCCTCCACAAGCATATAACTCTAACATTTTTTTGATGACCACAGCGTCCGCCACTTTGAAATATAAATGGCAATTTGCCAGTGGTGTACTAGTTCCTTTTTAGGGGGCTAATACAGTAATCCTCAAAAAAGAGGATAAAATTCCAATATTTAGTTTTCCAACATTTCTAGATTAGAAAAAGGAAATGTCATTATTTCATAGCTGGTGCTATGAAATAATTAGGCTTCTGTCATGCTATAATATTCTATGTGAGCCAAATATAGTTGTGGGAAGCTGTACGAAAAAATCAATAACAATTTAGAGACACTGAAAAAACCAAAGAGAAATATTGAATTTGGGAGATTTCAAAGTGGAGATTGCGCTAGCCTATAAAATTATTTCTTTTCATTGACTCCAGGGAAAAATTGATTCACTGCACAATTTTTTTGCTCAATAAATCATCAATTATTTACAATTGTCTGAGGGTCATTTAGATTTGTTATGGCAATTTGATATGAAGAATGTCTCTCTCTGGCATTGTAGCATACTAGTCAAAGGAGATTTGATTTAATAGTTTTAACTGTACAGTCAAACTAAAACATAATTAATTTTTTCGAATGAATAAAGAAACCTGACATTGTGAAATATATCGAAGTTTAAATACAAAATCATAAAAATTAAAAAAAAAAATAAAAATTTATATCCTTGATAATGAAGTGCCACGGATGGAAATTTTATTTCATTAAAAGCATATTGTAAAATCTCTAATTTTCACCGGGGTTGAATTTTCGTTGTTTTTGAAGCATTGAGCATGCCACCCCCACCCCCCTCTTCCCCGACCAAAACTACCCCCAAAAAGAACACTCTGTTTAGTTAGTTTTGCTGTTCACTTCATGTACTAATAGTACACATTATTTTTAGCTGAGATATATTAAGTTGCTCAGACATATTAACATGATTAAGGAACTCTAGTAATGGTATTTGATATCAACGCCCGATTTATTGGAGGAAACTTGATCCTTCATGATTATTGCCCATTCGAAGGTCCAAAATAGCAAAGTCAATGGTCATGATGGTATAATTCTGTATTTATTGATTGTAATAGAAGAGAATAATCTATTTTCTCCAGTTGTCACTCAGTGAAGGCTCATTAAGGGTCTTTATTTGAGAAGCCTATGAGTGTACTGTCATTCGGCACACCTCATACGAATCAAACCTCTCTAGGCATGAATGTGAGGGAATCAGCCGAAGTATTCCGAATGAGTGTAGTCTATTGCTATATTGACCTCTGGTACTGCAGTTGAGTTGACATGTGATGTGACCTGATCCTGGTCAAATAAAATGGTAATTAGAGCTCTCTCTGAATCATAAATGAGTCATTATTGGAAACTATTGTAGTTTGTGTGAATTTCATATTGAACTTGGATTGTCAAAGGGTGAAGAAAGTTTAAAATAGTATTTTCACATACCTGTAGTCCATTATAAATTTAGTGCACATATAAATTATATATTCACAATTTCACATGAGTTAAATCTACCATGTCTAATATCCAGATTTTCATAAAGCAGAAGCAATTAATGCCTTAGCCGGTCACTATAGTTATAATAAAGAATGATCTTCCCTGTTCAAGTATGGTATACCTCACATAAAACATGTAAATATATTTCATAATTTTCCCTTTAAGGAAATTAAAGTTTAGCTTTTTGGATGATATGGTAAATTTACATAACAATGATGATGATATAGATGTTATGATTGAATTGCATTGCTCCAATCTCAAAGTGCTGAAGACTGTTTACATGTTATATTTGCAAATTATAAAAAGATAAAATCTCTGAAGAGCTAAGATAGCATTCTTTGAGCAATATCAGCTTTTGAAGAACCTATCATACTAATGATTTATATAAAAGATATTTATATAAACCCCTGTTGTGATGGGAGAATTTGTTACACAATTATTCTCAAATCACATTCCTCTGTATTCTTAAATCGCATTCTTCTGAATCACTGAGATTCTTGCCAATCCATTGGATGAGACGCTATGAACCGAGGTCCCATGTCACAGTAGGTATAACTAGCATATTTCTCGATAGGGGCGTTAATCAAAAATCAAACAATCAGTTTTGATTTTAAAATTCTTAACAGATTGAAATAATGCTACTGGGATATGCTCTGAAATTAAATCTTTTCTATATCAAATTTTTAATGCTCAAATATTGAAAAGGATTCACTTAATGACCTATAATTTAAAACATGTAAAAAAAAAAGGTATGGGGCAAAAGAAATTTATGGAATAAAATTTCATTGCAAATGCTTCTAGATATATAGCTCTTTAATGTGAAAGTTTTAACCACAAACAGAATGTATGCCTTATAACCTTGACCAATGATCTTTGACCTGAAATAAATAAGGGTTTTTTTTTGGACCAGAGGAAGGTTGTGTAAAATTAATTTACAAAAGCTCAGAGGCTTCTGATGAGATATTATGCTGAGAGAAAATTTAAAAAACAGACAGAATTTATAACCTTGACTTTTGACCTTAAAATCAATAGGGGTCTTTCTTGGGCCACAGGGAGTTGGGTAACATTTCATAGCAAAAGCTCAAAGGCTTCGTGAGATATCCTGTGGAATTAACAAGGTAGACATGGACAGACAGACAGAAGGATGGACAGACAAACTGATATTAATATTAATTAATACTTTCAGTGAGAGAGTGGAACACAAAAAATATTACAGCAAATAGACAAAAATTGCAGGATGGAGTAAACAACCCTGTTTCTGGCACACAGGTTACTGTGGTATTTACATAACTGCAACCTCTTCAATTTTTATCGGCCAAAATGCTTTCCAAATATACAAGCTTGTATTGATTTTCTTGTTCACGCCAGTAGTGTATTTACAGGGATTCCTCTAGGAAGTTCTGTAGTCAATTTTAAGACAGTTCATGAATATTCATGTTGTCTGTTATTTATACCTTTGTAATTGTCACTGGGAATTGTGGAAGGATTTGGCTAGCTTACTCGTACAGTACATGTTGTAATTTACATGTAAATGCGACAGAATCTGCAAAAGAAAAAATGTTGGTCAGTCATAGGGTTAAACTAGTGTTTTAAAATGTGATGGATTTTTGTCGTTTTGCAATTCATTCAGATTCATTCATGTATTTTCAGTATAATTAAATTTTTATCTTCTTTGTACTATTTATATGTGTACATTGTCTGTATTGGGAAAACATTTGAACTTTAGTATTTCAATTGCTGATATTTTGAACATTTGGAATTTATTTCAGTGAGCCTGTAGTACCAGTCAATTCAAATACAGTTGAACATAACTTGAACACTGATATTTCCAATACCATGGATATGACAAAGTGATCTAGAATGAATTCCACTGACAATTTCAAATACATGTACCTGTATACTAGCTGGTATCTTTAAGCTTTTTTGTTGGTCCCAATAAAAACGGACGTAATGAAGTTTGACTGTAACATGCCCATAGGTCATTGCATTCTTATATGATATCATTTTCAGTTCAGATTCTTGATGTTGCATAAGACTGTGCTATTCCTAATGCCATTAAACTAATGCTGCCACTAGCCTTTTCTGAATAAAAACTCAAGTGAGCTTTCCTGATCACTCTTCATCTTCTGTAGATTAATTCCTTTTTTCCTGAGGACTTACTATTGGGAAATGCCTTTTTAATGCCAAAAATCATGAGAACTATTGGGAATTGATGGTTAAGTGAGATATTTTGCACTGATATCAGCACCATGAAAATAAAAATGAATAATTACTAATTTTATTTCAGCAGCATGATCAGTGGTCCATCTCTCATGAAATAATGCAATAATTCATTCCTTGTATATATTTATGAATTTACAGTATCTGTCTCACTGTGTTTGTCCCTGACCCTCTGTGAATAACTTCCTCTCTTAAAGAGCTGAAACAATTTTGACCAAAAACTCGAAACCAAGGGAAGATACAAAGTCAAGTCTTTACTTAATAAGACAATTTTTTGTCTGAAGATCTATGCAGTCTGATACATTAAATGCTGTATTTATAACGAAGGTTATTACCAGCAACTCAATCAATAAATATGTAAAGATGAGGGAGAATTTATAGATTTTCTCTCTCATTTCCCCCTGTTTTCGGAGTCCTGTAGGAATTTTGTTACTACAATGCATCTTTCGTTACACTGCAGTCATGTTTAATTTTCAGAAATAATTGTTTGCTTAGTACGCAAATATTATCAATATTTGATAATGAGCTTTGTTAAATTTAGAAATATTTGTCATAACTTTCATGCAATTTAGGCATAGAGACAATTTTTTAACCATATAATCATCATTTGATACAAAAATATCAGTTAAATTCTCAGATTGCCAAACTTAATGTATTGCTCGGAACACATGCAGTCTTCAAGGAATGTATAAAACAATCAACTTAAGATGAGATAAAAAAAAAAATTTACAACCGCAATTAAATCTGTTTGGCTGATAGTATAAAAACTCAATGATTTTCATGCTTTGCCTATCTATTTGTACAATCAAGATTTGTTTTTATGAATGATTCATTACAGCTGTGTGTGATATTATTGTCTAATGCACAAGCTACACAGCATTTATATTGCGGTGGTACCTATTTTGTAAAGGGGTGAGCTGCTTAACTGAAGCATTTGGCAGAGGAATATTGTCCGATCCCTGCAGTGCATTATTGCTGATCTGCCGTTCAATCAAGTCGATTCTAGATATTATCTAATGGCGGTTGCAGCTGCATATAATGGTAGTTTGGAAAGGGAAATGATCTCAGATGCGAATCAAAATAACAGGCATTAAAAACCTTGCTGCCAGAAATTGAATTTTTTTGGCTGCTGGTTTGTGAAATATTTTCGCATTGAATTCATTGATTCTTTTATTAAAAGAATATCATAAAAAAAGAAGCTGTGTTTGTGAAACACTGATCGATGCCTTCATTTGACAGCTTTATGGCAACAGTTGAAGTCTCTCAATTGCAAGTCAAACTCCAACGTCAAGGTCAAAATGTGCAAGTTGTAGGTACCAAGAAGATTGTCTTTTCACATTTGGAACCTACCTTAAAGGCTTTGAAATATGAGAGCTCTAAAGTAATGTTCAAGGTTAAGTTTTTTTTTTTTTACAAAGTGGGTCAAATTCTATTGTCAAAGTCAAGAGGTAAAAAATAATGATACAATTTAAAGGTCTTGTCACAATGAATAGACATGTGAAGAATTAAAGCCTTAGAACCAACTGTTAAAAATTTATGGCCAAGGTTAAAGATTGGTATTTTTTGGTATAAAGAGACCAAACTCCAAAGTCAAGGTCAGGAGATCAAATTTACTAATATCCAAAAAAAAAGTTTTGTCTGTGAAATGAGAAAGCCATAACCCATCCAGTCAAAAGTTATGGGCAGGGTTAATATTTTTAAGACATTAAGACAAACAGACAGACAGATGGATGGACAGGACAAAATCTATATAACCCCAAATCCTTTATTACAGGGGTATGAAAAAAAGGATTAATTATTAATGATAAGTTTTGTACATACACCATGATATTTATCCTGTATTACAGCTAGGGGCATGAAAAAAAAGATTGATTATTATTGCTAAGTTTTGTATATACACCATGTACAAAGAAATTCTTGAAATTGTCCTATAATGCATACATAATACAGTTAGTATTAACAGTGCATTAACATTTTCATTGATCAAGGACATTTGTCTGCTGAAGTGCTGTAGTATGATATATCCCCCTCGAACAAATGTTTTTATTGACGACAAAAACTGGGAACTGTTCAGACCACAATTTCGGAAGTCTCTCTCAGACGAGGAGGGATTGGTTTAGTAATAGAGCCACACAATGGACCAGTATTGATTGAAAGTGTTTCAAGATGCCATGATAATATTACAGTGTATTGATTCCCAAGACTCAGTCTATAGGACTATATAGCTGTCTGTGTGCTTCTTATTCTGGTCTGTGTGCTGATGGTGCCAAGTACATGTTTAAACCAAAAAAAAAAAAATGAATTGTTATTTTTGTGGTTACAAGTTGAAGCTGACATTGGAATTTAATGACCTCTCTTCATGTTGAGTCGTTTAGGTGATGTGGATGTCACTGAAATGCATACTATGCCCTTACAGTCAGATATGCTTGGCTTCGAATTTTCAGATTATGAAGAATTACTTTAAAATGTTATAGAAGGATAACTTCATGAACTCCTTTACTGGATGCCGGTGAAATCTATTTTATGTGTTCATTGGAAGTGGAGTAAGTTTGTGGAATTTTTACAGACATCAGTGCTGTGTCTGTTGGTTTTGTTTAGTTGTGTTATGTAACAGCTGCCTGAGTCAGAAACAGAATTTTACATGTAAATGAATGCTTTACGATGAGTTTTCATGTCTCACTGTCAGGTTTAATCATTCAGTTTAAACTTGGAGTACATATTGTTGTTAAAAATGTTTGTCTATTAATATTGCAATATTTCTGCAGGCAATTGGGAAAAAAAAATTGTAAAGAAGGTCATTTTTGAGTGTAGCAGAATGTCATTCAAGAACAAATGCGTATGAACCATCAAATATTATTCAGTAAAACCAAAGAAACTCTCCACAGATCAATATTTATTTTAATCCATCTTACATTATTCCGAGATTCTGAGACTAATCAATGAAGCTTTAAATTGTTTTTAAAAATCATGATGTGGCCTTTCAACATGCACTCTGTCAGGTGATGATTATATAGATTGCCTCTGTAAATGTCTTTGTGTTACGCACTTCTTGATGAAACAAGATGATTCAAAAGTTTTCGCATTGACATATACATGTACATCTACATTGTAGACTAGAGAATTGCCTTTTTACTGTAGCACATTTTGTTCAGAATACTGTAGAAGGCAGGATCAATAGCCACACAATCCTTTCTGTTGTCAACTCATCTAGAATGTTTAGATTAGTCTAAACCAATAAATGAACAGATTTTATTCAGAATTATATATAGAACTTTTCATGAATTGTTGACACATTTCTGTTTTTTATTTTAACTTCTCATGAATTGTTGTCATCATTATTTGAGGTTTGAATGACCTCTTGACCTTCATGGATGAATGATTTGCTGACATTGTTGCTATGGTTACTGCTTTGTCTTTGGTATTTTACGTTGTCATTGGTTACTTGGCTGTTGACCTTCCCTCGTGTCCTTGAGACTCTGGTGCTATGCATTTTCTATGGAATTATTACCATTGAGTCAGAAATGAAGGTGAGATTGACAAATTGATGTTCTTTTTTCTTTGTATGAACTCATCAATTTTTAGTCCCCTAGTCCTACCAATGAAACTGGATTGGGGTTACTTTAATTTATTTTTGTCCTGCTAGTGACAAAATCTTTCAGAAGTTGACTTTTCCAGTCAGATAATTAACACACTTTTATTGAAATAAATAACTGGTTGGAGATAGAAAGAAAACAGAAAAAAACATGCAATTTAGCTATGTATTTTATTGCATACTTTATTGGAGAAAGTGATGATTATTTTATGTTTCATAGTCTTTAAGACATGTATTGAAAAATGATGATCTTCTTTTTGAAATTTAAACCTTATTTCACTTTGTTTCAGGGTCTAAATGGCAACCAGTTATATTCCAAGGTGGACAGCATGGATCCATTGATTGGTCATGATTCCATCCAATCAGGGAAAACCTCTGCCACAGACAACCAATCATCGCCAAATCATGTTGCTAATTTGAATATTCATCAGGAGGAGAGACCTATTCTCAATGGAGTAGTCAATCGTTTATCACCTGATGAAAATAAAGAAATGAGAATTACTGATGTGAAATTAGAGACACTTAAAACTAAAACAACATGGCAAGAGATGTCACCAAAGAGGGAAAGGAAAATCACACGGCAGAACAGCTCTGGGAGCATCAAAAGTAGTAGTAGTGGCAGTGCCAGTGGTACATCAGGGAGCAGCGATTATTCCGGTTCACCACCATCCAGTCCCACAAAGTCTTGGAAATCCATCCGTGAAAGCAACAGAAATAATGCCCTCTCCTGGAAAGATCTGTCAGGTAACAAGTCTGGAGATACTTCAGATGAGCATTTGCCATCGAAAGGAACCAGCACAAATGAGAACCAAATTGGGAAGTGTGTATGTAGTCCTGAGCATAGAGGAACTGAGGGTCAGAGAACTAAATTAGTGCAGAACCAGACCACTCAAAACCAGGGTACGGACAACGCCTCCATTACGGCTGCTATAAATAACACCGTGACTGACAATGGTAAGACAGAGCATGGTCATGTGACCACTTGTGTTCATACCACTGACAACGGACATGGAGGTGGTGACAAAAACCCAGCCTGTAACTGTAAAGCTAATGTAGGCAAAAAAGCCAATCAGAATGTGAATAACAAAAACCAAGGAAGTCCCGAACACACATGTAAGCCTTCATCTCGGCTGGAGAGTGCCCCATCAGAGGAACAAAATAACGAGTATTTCTATGATGAGGACTTTACTGTGCAGTTTGACACAAACTTAAGGGAGTCTTCCCCTGGACTAAACTGTACATGTATTGATCCCACCATTGTCAGTGATTTTCCAAACATTGCAACTGGAAGTTACTTGTCGTTTAACAATATGAAGGGATCTGGACTTTTTGATCAACAAGTCAATACAGAACTGTTTTGCCCAGATGAATCTGAACTTTCCTCCTGTAGGAATTCAGTGATGGACATGTCATCCAGTGAACGAGAAATGATGTGCTCAAGTGACATGTTGGAATTCAGTGACAACCCACTTTTCACACCTTCACCAACAAAAGAGTTAGAAAAACAGAATGTTTCCACAGATAGCTTAGATAAGAATTTTAGACCTAGTGATCGATGCTGTCAGGAAGGCAGCTTAGAATCCAGTGATGGTAACCTCTGTGTCAACTGTTGTCCAAAGAAAGAGGATTACTTCCTCTCATTTGATGGATCTCAAGGTCGATCCAGGACAGACTCGGAAAATGATGCGTCCTTGCTTTCCATTGGATCAGGTCAAGGTCACTGGGGTCAGAGTTCATCGGGGGAGGAAATGGTCTCAGAGGAATGTACAGACAGTTTCCACTTCTGTTACATGAATGGTAATGGAAACGTTCAGCATGGACACAGGAGAATCAAGTTCCAGTCTCTAAAGACAGTACAGGAGAGTAATGGTGATGCAGACATTGATGAAAGTGAAGGAAAATTATCCACCTCTCTACCCAAAATAACAAGAAGTCCCATCTCAGAGTTCAACCAGAAGTTAAATGGTGGACATAATGGAAAGAAAGGTTGTTGTCAAGGCAAGAGAGCCTCCCTGCATAAATCCAATGGATCTTCTCCTATAAAGTCCTCCATGAGGCATACTATACCTAACAGGAAGGTGACATCTTGGAAGCAGGTCAAGTCTCTCAAGTCTTTAGGAAAGCTAGATACGAATATGGATCCCGATCGCAGCAGTAGTATGCCTGAGCTGTATGTCCAGACTTGGCAGTCTTTTACTTCCCAGGAATGTCTTGACATTGCAAAAATTGCAGAGAGCTTTCATGGAAAGAGACATTCTGCATACCTTCTGGATCTGTATCAGAGAGTCAGAAATCAGTCCAATCCAGTCTCCCCAGAAACCATGGCCAATATAGAGCAGATCCTGTTCCATCCACTGATCAGTCAAAATCGTTGCCATGGTGAGGCCAATCTGAGTGCTCCCATTGGTCCATGTGGTGTCTGTGGGCGGGACGGATCACACAGTAGTCACACCCTTACTAACAGTAACATCCACCACTTGGTCAACACTAGCCGCACTGGACAACAGCTTGACCAGTACACCAGGAAAAGGATTATTGAATGGTTGGAAAAGGACAGGCTGGATGGACATTGTAAGGCCAAGGGCTGCCAGACTGAGAAACAAATGAAGAACACAGAGACCATCATTTCTCCCACAACTGTTACACTGTGGTGTGGTACCAAGAACTTCAGTGCTCAGTTTCCACCTCACACCAGAGACTGTGGGATACAGACTACAACCAATATTTTAAAAGAGGGGCATATTACTCACATGGAGCAACAGACATCACCTACATTAGAAATGGAATATAAAAGGCTGTACATGACAGAAGTCGCTCAACAGACCTCTCCAAATTCTGACAGGCATGACATCCTGTCCATGCTGCCAGAGACCTTTACAGACCTTGATGACATCATTCCCAGAAGAAATCACAGAAGTCACAAACATGTGCCAAGATCAAAGAGTGCTGACAGCAATGTTCCCAGAGACACAGCAGAAATCCCTGAGAGAGGCTGCATTTCCTATTACACTTTTAAAACTTTGCCAGATTTGAATTTTACAGTCTCTTGTTCTGATATTCAATCGGAGGAAGAAATCTCTTTATTTGATCCTATACCTGTAGCCATGCCAATCCCTATTCTAACACCAACATTTGCAAAATCATTCTCTGGGGTACCTGCTAAGAAGGAAACTCAGTCAAGTGGAACAACTAGTAAAAGGTCAAGGTCGGTTCCTGCTAAACTGGTGAATCAACATCTGCTGAAGAATGCCGGGGAATCCGGCTCCAGTAGTAGTGGTGTTAGTACCTGTTCCACATCATCTGGAATAGATCCAGGTTACATCACTGATGAGAGACCATTCAGTGTCGGCAGTCCTTCAAATGACATTGAGCGACTACTATTCTACCCTCCACATGTAGAGAGTGCTAAGAGAGAAAAAGTAGAAAGTGAAAGTCAGAAAGGGGAAGGTCAAGTTGAGACTCAAACCCGAAATAAACCAAGTCATCCGAAACTTAAGAGAGTGGCCGAAAACAGGGTCAATAAATATGCAAATGAGATTCACCCTTTTTCCCTGGATGCAATAAATAAACCAAAAGCACTTGACGCTGAAACAGAAAATAAAGCTGATGGGAAGATGTTACTGGAAAACCACCCAGCAGTAGAGCATCTGTATTCTTTACAGGAAGAGAACACCCCAGTTTCCTCTCCTGATGTCAGTAGATGTCACCATAACTGCTGTCAAGGAGAGGACTGTTTCTTTGTCAATCATCCCAACCAGTTCTCCAGTGAATCCAACTCCTCCAATGGAAGTGGGCAGACAAAACCCAACCGAAAACCCCTCAAGTCTTGCCTCCGAAAACAGCACTTTTTGAGGTCAAGGTCACTGTCTGACCCCCATAACCTGGGTCAGACGGCAGAGAGTCAGAAGCAGCGGAGGAAGTTGAACCGCCATTCCTATGCCTGTGAGGAGGTGTATCTTCTGACTGACGAGTCTGGTCAGTATTATCTGTGTCAGAGTGATAACTCCTCCCAGTCCAATGAGAGCTCCGGGCCCATCATGTTCTGTCTAGACGATGTGGTGCCTGGAGAGGGGATGCAGACGGTCAAATTGAGGCGGAAAAATCCAGCTGAGGCAGGAACCAAGACAGGGTCAGAGGCCAATGATGCACTGAGTGGGAAGAGAAAGAGTGTCAGTTTTGCCTCTGAAGTCTCCTTCCATGACATCAGTCCACATCCCTCACCTAAACACAGGGTGGAAGAGGCTGAGGTCAAAGGAGAGGAAGATAAAACAACAGGTAATAATTATTGTGTTGTATTGTTTGTTCACATAAAGCTGATAGGGCACTTCAATTACTATTTCAACATTTCGACACAATTCTCAGTTATGACATGCTTTTGAAGAAAAAAGAGCCAGCCCCAACCCTTGAAAAAAAAATGTTTTACATAATTTACTAGCCCATTTAATCAATCAATCTATTACATTCAAAATGTGTTTAAATTAAACATAAAACTTTATTTTTCCGGTTTAACAATCCATTTGATATGAAACAGAATCCTCATCTGTTTTAGTTTTCCACTGATGCATCACATGGATGAGTAAATGCTTTTATTAATATCTGTATGTCGCTGCAGGTACCCAGATAGGTGATCAAATTTCACTGAATCAGATGAATAATTGATTTAAATTTGATTGCCGTACACTGAACATGCTAAACAATGTTAAAAGACAGCATTACTCTCAGAATCAAATTACATGATGATGATTAGAATTAATCACATCAGAATCAATAATGAGAGGGACCACTTCTTGAAGACTTTTTTTCAGTCTGATTTTTTCAGGTTTTCTTAAATCAACCTCATAAATATTGATACATGTACTTTATTTTCTGTTAACATTTTACTTCCTGAAATTTTGAATTTTTGTTTATCATGTTCTTTTAAGACCCATTAACATACAAGTACACATGTACAACCTGTCTTAATACTTCTATATTAATACTTCTATATTAATATTTCTATGTGACTCAGATGAAACTCACAAACAGCTTATCATTTGATCTCTTTATTAAACCACAGTGTATCCTTATTCTACAGGTCCACCAGTCCTAGCTCGAGCCAACTCGACCGAGAGTTGTGAGTCCTCCTCAGACTCGGATGTTCCCCCCGAGAGTTTCCGATTGTCCCCCTCGTCAGAACAGAATGTGTACTCAGACAGGTTTGATGAACTGGAGAGAAAAAGAGGTAGGGCTGATAACATCATAATAATGTCCTTGAGTACTAATGAATGAATTGCTTTTAAAAAAATAGTTACTTTAGAAACTTATGAAGGACAGAATTTGAAATTGGAAAACGGACTTGAATTGCCTTTATTTATCATGTTTATTGGTTATTTGTTATTCATCATTTTATAAGGTAAAGAACCTAGCTATTTTACTCACTAAATATCTGTGTTCATGAGGAAATACTTCAAATAGTAGTTTAAAAATTATTAATTTATATGAAATAAAAGAACTTGTAGGTTCATGCATGTCCCTGTAAATGTATTTTAAAATAGAGAGGTTGAACTTGTAGGACACAGATAGGTGGAATCCTAAATTCCTCGCGTATCAATTTTAGTGATGACGAGTTTTCTACACGTCCTTAGAACTTGTAGAATGGCAGCTACAAGTGCGTGAAAATGTGTAGCTTTAATAATAAAAATTGGTCAATTTATCTGTGGCAATGTAGTTTTTTTAACTTTTTTTAAGAAGTTTATTTTCATGAGCACTTATTTTAATCATGTTTTGTTATAAGCTTAATAAAATCAAACTGATGTAACAAAACTGCTAAAAAGATTGTTACTGAGACTCCAGTCTTGGTGTACACATACATATTACTGTCATAAAAATCTCAACAGACAAATTACAAAAACGTGTACGTGTACATAAAAAAATATGCAAAAGTACACGTCATACTTGTAGATCATAATAGGGAGAAAAGAAGAAACTAAAATTTGGTAAATGAAATTCATTGTATGTGTTAACAATCTTTATAGAATATGTTTCTAGTTGCTAATGTTTAAAGTAAAAGCAATTGATCATGAATTGTGTTGATATTGAAAATATTAATAAAAGTAAATTAATTGCATTTTGAAATAAACTTGATGGCATTGTAGGTATGTTGATAGAGGTGTGTCAGGTGTCGGAGGTCATCTTGAATCACTTCAGCTCAGCCAAAAACCCATTTGACAAGGTACGGCACTATATTAAAAACAACTCTTATTTAAGAAATAAGATATCATTTTTATATATGAAGTCCGGAAAATGATAAAATTCTGTAATGCCGAAAGGCGTATTATTACAACATATTTATTAGTTATCCATGTTAAGGGTGTATGTGGAATTTACTCTAGATAGTATTTCATACACTCTGTCAGATATTATTTGCAAAACTATAACAAAAACAAGAGGCCCATGGGCCATATCGCTCACCTGAGCACTAAGGGTAGGAAAAAGTAGAAAATGGCTTTTTATTGTAAAGTTTAAATCCAAAAGTAGTCCCATGACCAATCATGGATTTGCTATTTTTTAGAAAGTGATTTTTAAAGAATTTTCCTATATATATCTAAAAACTTTGTCGGCCTTTTTGAAATTGAACAAACTTTAATCTAACTACCTGAGCAGGCTTCCATATAAATATGATACATTATTTTGTCAAAAAGAAAAAGAATTTTCCTAATCTCTATTTCTATGTAAACCTTTGCATTTTGGCCCCGAACCCTGGGGGTCAATAACAAACTTGAATCTACACTACCTTTCATTTGCATAAAATGCTGAATTATGGCTTTGTCATTCTTGAGAAGAAGATTTTTAAAGAATTTTCCTATATATTTCTATGTAAAACTTTGGTCGGCCATTTTGGCCCCCTACCCCCGGGGGTCATGATTTGAACAAACTTTAATCTACACTACCTGAGCAGGCTTCCATATAAATATGATGAATTATGGCTTTGTCATTCTTGGGAAGAAGATTTTTAAAGAATTTTCCTAATCTATATTTCTATGTAAACCTTTGGTCGGCCATTTTGGCCCCGCCCTAACCCTGGGGGTCATGATTTGAACAAACTTGAATCTACACTACCTGAACATGCTTCCATATAAATATGCTGAATTATGGCTTTGTCATTCTTGAGAAGAAGATTTTTAAAGAATTTTCCTATATATTTCTATGTAAAACTTTGGTCGGCCATTTTGGCCCCGCCCTACCCCCGGGGGTCATGTTCTTTTAATCTACATACCTACAGGCTTCCATAAAATATGATGAATTATGGCTTTGTCATTCTTAGGAAGAAGATTTTTAAAGAATTTTCCTATATATTTCTATGTAAAACTTTGGTCATTTTGTTACCCTCTATCACAAACTTGAATCTACACTACATGAGGATGTTTCCCCATAAGTTTCATCTTTCCTGGCACAGTGGTTCTTGGAAAGAAGATTTTTAAAATACTGTAGACGTACTTTTTTCCACGGGGTCATAATTCCGCGGAATCTCAATTTCTGTTTAATCCGCCTGGTTAAAAATTACTTGTTGATTTTCTAGATTGTCACTATATGCCTTGCATTTATTTTAAATACGCTTGGACAAATTTCCGCGGAAAATTTGTGACCGTGTACATAGCGTAAATTAATACCACGCGGAAAAAAGTACTTCTACAGTATGCCACCAAATTTTCATTAATTCCCAATTATCTCCCCTTGAATGAGGGCGTGGCCCTTCAAAAAAACAAACTTGAATCCCCTTCATTAAGGATACTTTGTGGCAAGTTTGGTTGAAATTGGCCCATTCGGTTCTTGGAAGAAGTTGAAAATGTGAAAAGTTTACAGACAGACAGTCAGACGGACAGACAGCTAGACAGACGGACGCCGGACAAAATGTTGAATCTCACTTGAGCCTTCGGCTCAGAGTTCCAGCTAAAAATTGACCATTTTTCAATTTCATTTAACAGGGTGTTCAATAGAAAAAATCAATGCAAAAAATAATGCATGTCAAAGGTGGCCATTGGTTTAAAACTTTTGTGATGGTTTGCAATATATTGTGACGTTACCTATTTTTAATAGTATCCTAATTTCGATAGGCTAATGTTTTTAACAATAAATCAGAAAACTTTTCGTAATTTTTTTGAACTCTTATCCCAAAATTATCATCAGATGTAAATAGTGTAATAAAGCCAAAAAGATAAAAAATTATGCCATTTGAAGAGGTAAGATTTTCTTTTTCTTTTTAACTAATCAAATCACGCCCTTTTCTCATAATGCCAAAAAATTCACTCTTAAAACCCTATTTCCTAAGCCTGAAAACGATATCTGATCACCCTATCATATCGTCTGATAAAAACCTGTCTTGTGGCCTAAAAGTAGACAAGCCTTACTTTAGCAAACTTCCGCTGAAAAAAATAAAGTATGGAAGCTTGTTACACGTATTTTATTTTAAATTTTGATATCTTTCTATGTTTCAAGTCTTGTTTCTGTTGCTTTACTGTTCGTTTCCTTGTAGATATTTTCCATCAAAAGGGAAAACTACAAGAATTATTATAGTCTAAAGGCTGTGGATAATGCTTTCCAAGAAGACACTGGCTCCAGACTTAAAATTTCAATTTTCAAAAAATTCAACCCAAAAAATGAAATTCGTAATGCTATAGTCAACTATGATTTTTTTGTTGTTAGATTTTAATGAAAAACAGAACTTTAAAAAATCCAAAACCATAAAAAGGACAAAAAAAAATAAATAAAAGAAAACAAAAAACCACACATATTAATATAATTCGATGTTTTTATGACAATTACGGTGCGCCATACTTGCTATCGAAAATAGGTGACGTCATTCAAAACAACTTTATGGCGGATCAAAAAAAGTTGAAACAGTACTGAAATTCTTTATTTCAAAAACAAATAAATGTCTGAATATATTTATGTATTGTTGACTAATACGACATATATAATTAAGATAAATATAACATACATGCCTAGATTAATTTTTTGACTTAAGTTTTACACTATCGAAAACCGATAACGCCAGGATATATTAATTATGAAAATCTGATAGGGCATGAAATTTGTAAAGTACACAAAAATATAAGGAAAAATTATTTCATAAAAATGTACTGTCTACTGATAGTCTGATACACAATTTTACTTCTAGTTGCGATTGGGTAGTTCAGCAGACACACCAGAAATCGGTGACCTAATTTTGAACCGACTGTGTCCTGCTCTGAACCAGGTGGTAGGTGACGGGCTCAAACCGTTCCTTAACGGCTTCCAGATGTTTGGTCGAGTCAACATCACAGTCTGGAAAGTAGCAGAAATCTCAGCTGAACAAGGTATCAACCTTTAGTTTTTGTGTCAGTGCATAAGACATCATCAAAGAATATTTTTTTTAACCAAGAAGCAAAATTTGAAAAAGAAATTAATCACTAATATTTAGCAAATCATGCTCTTAAACTATGACAATTTAAATTTTTGTTAAAGTTTTGAATTATCTAATTATCTGTGATTACCTTAATATGATAACTGTTAATCTCTTAATCGGTTAGCTAATCAGTGTTTATTAAATTAATATTTTATATTAAATCTCATACAGGTCCATACACCAGAGCTATCCATGACCTGGTCCAGCAGTTGAAGAGTAACCCCGCCCTGACCAGCTGTTCTGCCAAGTTTGAAGCTTTCCTGTTTGGTCTTCTCAAGTAAGCTCTTATTATTAAGTACTTAATATTCAGTGTTATTTAAGGAATGTTTTTAAGTTTTGTGTGAGTTATTGGTGTGTGAATCACACAGGCAGTATTAATATTTACATGACACTTATTTCTTCATGACAAAATATGCCAACAAGATTTGCATGTCCTGTGTGACCTTACACCAATTTAATTCAATAAATTAAAAACATAAACTATATTTACATTCATGTTTGTTATCACCGAAAATATACTCAATAATATTAATTTCTATAACTCTCATATAGGTCCATACACAAGAGCTATCCATGACCTTGTCCAGCAGTTGAAGAGTAACCCCGCCCTGACCAGCTGCTCTGCCAAGTTTGAAGCATTCCTGTTTGGTCTTCTCAAGTAAGCTCTTATCAATATTCAGTGTTATGTGAAGGTAAAAATTAGTTTATTTAATGGCAGACTTGTGTTATTGAACAGTTATTATGAAAATTCATGAATATAGAAGAATAATCTCAATAAGAGATGCATATTTGCACTGTACATTCTGTGATGTTTATTAATGACAAACTTTTTAAAACTACATTATCTATAAAACTAACCTGGTTACATGGTCACTGTAATTTCCTTGCATCTCATATATACATGTATGTTAAAAATTTATATTTTATCAGAAACAAAATACACTGAATGACTGAAAGAGTGATCAAGTCATAGCTTTAAACAATTTTAATCAAGCAGTTCATTGTACATAACATATAACTATTTTTTTATAATTTCAGCCTGCGTTTACTGGACTACTGGATGGGATACCTACGTTACAGTGACAGTCTGACAGACAAATTCTATAACTCTGATGGCGTCATCGTCCTAAGCCGGACCTGTCACGAGCGTGCTTACGATGAGATGCTCATCTCCTTACAACCTCTATCAGTTCTTCCCTTTCAACTCGGACTCGAGTATGTATTGGAGAACTCAAAGTATCTCTCTCACTCACCTACCTTGAGTCCGAATAGGAACAAGTCCCCGTTGATAAGCCCTTCCCTAGAAAAGGAAATCGTGGTGCCACCCCCAAAACCCGCCAGGAGTATGAATCTGAATGGGACTGGTCTGATCTCAACTAAAGCTTGGGAGTGGATCAAAGGGAGTGTTTGTGATGATGGACCTGAGCAAAAAATGGAAACCAAGATGGAGGAGAAGAAAAAAGAGGTTTCAGCTAAAGTGGCTGATGACCTTGGTGATAAGCCTAGGAAAAATGTTGAAGACATGCAAATTGAAAAAATGCAAAAACCAAGGGAAAGCAAAGTTTCTGTGAATAAGGAGAAGAAACCATTAAGTAGTGGTAACCAGGTGGACCTAAAAGGAATGTCAGACTCATTTTCTGGTATTGCCCAGAAATTATTAGGAATGAATACTTCCCGAGAAAGAAATTCTGAAAGTAGTGTTACAAAAACTCCATCTGTACCCAACACTGAGAAGAAAATGCCAAAAGAACAAGGAACAGTCAAGGAGAATGTAGAGACAGTGTCCTCAAAGGCCAAGTCTGGGATCCTGAAATTCTTTGACAAACTGTTGCTTCCTAAGGACACTGGCTCAGCACCTAAAAGTCAGATACCAAAACGTCACAGCTGGAATGTTCCGAATGAGGGAGGTCAGAGGTCACCTGGATCACAAGAAAGTAAGAGTCTCTCACCTGTTTCTGGAAACAAGGAATTGAAGAACAGTCTGGAATATCAGAAGCAGAAGTTTGCTAATGCTCGAAAAATTCCGAAATCCAAAGCAGAGAATGTGGTCGCTAGAAGTATTCAGAGTGAGGCAAAGATGGACATTGAGAAAAAAGATACAAGGAAAAATGAAGAAAGGTGTGTTGGCAAAAATCTCTCGCAGAAAGTGGATGATAAATTGTCCAGCAAACAGGCAAGAAATCCACCCTCAGATTTAAGTTTGAAGATCAGAAATGTCCCAGAGACTCCTGAAAAAGTGCCAGCGAAGGCGGCAGATTCTCCTTCCAGAAAATTTGGGTCACCTCAGAGGAGAGTAACAGACAAAGGAAAAGTCAGTAAGATCCCAACACTGCAAAAGAAGTCAGAGAGCAAAAAGCCCCAGAGGAATAGCCTTGTGTTAGATTCATCAGGGTATAGCTCATCGAGTGTGCTCAACTCACCTACTCGAGTCAAGCATTCTCACTCAGCTGGTCAAATCCCAGTCCCCGTACAGTCACCCAAGAAAACCAAAACAAACTCATCAAAGAATGCAGAAGTGTCTACAAACAAGAGTGGATCTCTAAAAACAGTCCCCAAAGCACCAGTGGATAAGTTTGAAGGAATCATCTCCTCTACTGAGTTTCCAAGTAAGGATCCCTCTGAATCTGTGGAATCTAACTCATCAAGTGAATGTGCATCTCTAGAAGTGGGCCCGACACTTGTAGCACCTTGTCAAGAAAAGAAAAAGCACAGGTCTTCTACTGAGAAAAATACTGCTGAGGAAAGCCGAAATAGAAGAACTCCTCCGGTTCCTGGGTCCCAGACAATGGAGCTTGATATTAACTCTAACTCAGCCCTCCCTGTTCCAGATCAGGCCGTGGGTGGTGGGGTACAGTGTGTGAGTGGAGGGACAACACAACCAGCCCCGAGTAAGGACTTCATGAAGCCTGACTTCAGGTATGTTAAATCAGACTGATATAAAATCTTATCCTGAGTTGTTATAGCTGTCTATTCACAGGTATTCGGGTAATTTATGTCTCTCCAATTGATTCCTGCAATTTATCCAATCATCAAGTTACACAAGATTTATCAAAATACATGTATAAGTGTATCTATTTTGCTGCTTTTGTACTTCATGAAGCCCTTCTTCAGGTTTATTAAATTCATAACCTGTAGTGTTATATCTATATAAAATTACATGTCATTTGTGGTTCATTTTGTCTTGTCAATGTGATTCCTTAATTCAGCCATTCAGTTTGTACACTGGTTTATTAAATTATATGCATATGTCCAATTTTGTTCTTTTCATAATGAAAATCGATTGTATTTTGAAAGCATATAATTATGCATAGGATTTGAAAGAATTTTACATTTGGTTTGTAGTAAACCATATTCTTATAGGAATACACATTGTCTGGTTTATAGAAATCTTCCAAGACTGACTCTCCTGTTTATGCTAGTCAAGAAAAATCTATATTGATTCAATCAAAATGAATATGTTTCTGTATTTTATTAGGTACATAGAGACAGTGACAGACTTTGAGTCCAGTGAGATATCTCAGCTCTCGTATAGGAAGGGAGATCACTTTGAGGTGCTTGCCGAGATCGACTCGAGTTGGTTTTACTGTGTGAACGGGCCACAGGAAGGACTAGTTCATGTTGACGCTGTCAAGCCTCTGAGTGACAAAGACGAGTTTCATCTGCTTCATAATAAGTTTTCATAATAGTCATAATCAACTCTGTGTTTATTTTGTTCATAATTTATTTATAATATTTAGTGAAATTAATGTCCTTGATTTAAGTCATATTCATCTGGTACAGTACAATAAATAATGATTTGTTAAAACTATATAAATGGATATCTCTATGGTCTATATAACAAGGAGATGTTTAATAGAAAAACAACATGTTTATTCAAATAAAAAAAAGTTGTTTTTCTGAAGTTTAGAAAGGCAAATGCAGGGTTTTCAAAGTTGAAATCCATATTATTAGGCTGGACTACTGAAAATATGATAAATTTACAGCATTAGTCAATACATGGACTCTAATATTGCTTTACTCAAAGTTGAAATTTTTACGTATTATTAGGCTGGAAAATAATTTCAATTACTGCTTTGATTATTTTCTGATAAATTTACAGCATTTTTTGCAATGCAATGGACTTATTGCTAATATATACTTTTTACGGTATGTATATACATTTACTTTGGGTTTTTTCCTCTGTTGGTAGATAAAAATAATTTCAATTACATTTGTATTTAGATAAAACTTATTATGTACATTTACCATGCCAAGGAGTTTGAAGAGTGCAATATATACTTTTTACATATACTTTATGACAGTGCATAAGTATGCAGCATGTTAAATGCATACATATACTTCCATCATGTACGTAGGTTAACAAATTGTGTTTGTAAGATGTGATTTTATTGGCTTCACATTCTATGTTACCAGGTTGTGTTTGTAAGATGTCATTTTATTGGCTTAACATTCTATGTTACCATGTATTTTTAAGATGTCATTTTATTGGCTAAACCCATTATGCTAAGTAGGTTACTATGGTTGTGTAAGATGTGATCTTATTGGCTTTGTTATGTGCTTAATTCCTAGTACACTTGTTTATTTTTTCTTATTATGTTGCCCTGGACCTGTTGTGATAAAAGTTATTACAAATATCTTAAATTGTGATTATTGATTTTTTAGATTTTGTTGTTTTAACTCGCTAAAATCAAACTACACATGTATTTCCTATTAAGTTTTTTTATTGCAAAATTTATAGTTCTTTTTGTTGACATCCTATATTGATATGTATATTAACACTGGATTTTTGCTCTTGTACTGTAATGTATTATGGGGGATATGATCTTTCAAGTGTCGTCTGAAAACTTTTTTTCTTTCGATTGCCCTCCATGCAATAATGAATGTCCTCGGTCTGCTATACATTTACACTAATGCATCATAGTGTGTTAATTTTCTCAAAATGAAACATAATTTTGCATGCCTAAAGAAATTTATAATGAACATAAAATATTTGAAATTTGTTATCTCAGTAAATATTTTACAATTTAAATTTAGATTAAATTGAGGACGAGTTTAAATCATGGAGGGAGTTTTGTGAGCCCATCTTAAAGAACAATGTTGATACTTTTCTATTTGATCAAGATTTAATATGAAACACTATATTATTTATAATAAGTTTATTAATAATTTGGTGTCATATTATGAATTCTTGTGACATTTAAATCATTATGATTAAGTCATTTAAAAAAAATACTCAGTTTAAAGGGAAAGACAGCTACACGAAAGTCTGTTTAAGATAGAAAATGAAGAGTTATCACTCTTTGCAAGATAAACTCTTGTTCCCCCAGTAGATTAATATGGTAAAATGTCTTATACGGTGTATGGTATTGCTTTCCAAAAGATGGTTTCGCTCTTGTTATACTTACTATAGTGTCAACATTGGTATTTAAGAGGCTTACAAAATGAAAAGAGTGAACAGAAAGATCATGGACTCTTTAATATCTTTTATTGTTGCTACATCAGTTGTTCTTCAGTCATACAGGATTTATTTTTCATTTCGCAATTAAATAATCCTGCATAGTACAGAACAATAGTATTAACTGAAAATGATAGCAGAAAAATTTATCTCTCTTGTACGTTTTTTTTTTTGCACATTGCTAATGTTTTATAGCATTATGCTTGTTAATATTCATATTTAAAGTGACTGTGTCAATTGGTTTTTATTAATGTATACCTGTGCAATATAAGGAAAACTACATTTTTATGTATTACTAGTCAATTTATGTCCCTCCACAGTATTTGTCAATAAGTATTCATGCAAGTTAAGGTTATTATACAGGTTGTTTCTAGTCACATTTTTATTTAATATTATGATAATAATTTTGTGTTAATAGACTGTTAAAGAAATTATTTGTTTTCGAATGTTAAATCCTTCCTTAACTGCATTTTTCACTATTTATCGCAATTTGGGATACAATCAATGTAACCCAACTACATTTTATTCATATATGATGTACTTATTTGCAGATTGATTTATTTTTATTTTATTTATTAATTTCTTAGATACAAACTTTGATTTCTGATAAAGATTGGTTTATTTAACAAAAACTTTCTTGAAAATATCTACATTGATACAGTGGTGTATGTGACTATGTGTTCAAATCATGTATCATGTTTGTTTTTAATTTATGATTGCTATACATATTTCTTTTTTAAAGCTGCATTTAAACTTTGCTAAGTTCTTTTCATTAACTTTTATGTTTGCATTTAATTATAGATTTATTGATTTCAAGTTCATGATATACGAAAAAGGACAAGAGTAGATAACAGTATAGATGATACACATAAACTTTGCAATTCATTTTCTGTGGATAAATAAACATTTAAAGTGCAGTTAGTTGTTTTGATGTTAATGAAGATGGAAAAACAACACGTGCACAATCAGGGAAAGCATTTTGATTCATAAGATGTGGACCTATTTTCACCATTCATTATCTTTGTATTTCAGTGTAATAAGTTTTAAGAGTTTTTATTAGGGCCCCGCAAGGATTTGCGGGTGCCCTATAGTAATCACTCTGTCTGTCCGTCTGTCTTCCGTCCACAAATTTTCTGTTTTTTTTCTAATAACTTTTTTTATGGTTGCCCAATCAAGTTCAAATTTGATATGGTAGTTCAGTAGGCAGAAATACATATTTGATGCTAAGTTTGGTTCTCAATGTCTTCTGGTTTGGAGCTAGGGTGATGGGGTAGATTCCTTAACTATCTTAAGAATGAATGGGCAACTTTTTTTATGGTTGCCCAATCAAGTTCAAATTTGGTATGGTAGTTCAGTAGGCAGAAATACATATTTTGATGCTAAGTTTGGTTCTTTCTGTCCCCTGGTTTGGAGCTGGGGTGGTGGGGTAGATTCTTTAACTTTAGAATGCATTGGCAAAGAGAGATAACTGCTGAAGATGTTCCCATTGTAAAATGAATGCTGGCTATGAGTCCTTTGGGATTAATTAGGTTTCCTCCTGAAGAAAATCCAGAGCATTATCTTTATCTGTCACATTGAGATGAATTACCACCTCTGTCTGCAAATAAAGTTTGTTTTGAAGTAAAGTCAATTTGGAATGCTATGAACACTGTGAAATGTGGATTTAGATATAGATTTTTATAATTTATTTTTCTTTAATAGTTATGATTTCATTGAATTCTAAAAACAGGAAATAGATTAAAGAAGATTTTTTTTGAATTACTTTTTTTACTTTATGTAAATTAATTTTAAGGTTGTTTTATAAAAATCCCATTCAATCATTAATACTGAAAAAAGTTCTTGTTGTAACTTTAGAAGAAAATGATGAAAGAGGTACAATTAATCCTTTGGGATCAATTATCTAGCCTGCTGCAGAAAGTTTAGTAGGCTTTACTTTATCTTTAAGATTAATGTAAACCTTTGTCTGCAACTGCTGTTTGTTTGAAGTTAAGGTCAAGCCTTCATGATATTTGCATTCATTGAAGGCTGGCATTCTATATAACACAAGCTTCATAATTGTTTAATACATTCAATTTCAAATTGTTCTTTACTGCCTAAAGTAAATACAAGGATATTATTTCAAGTTTTTGAATATTCAGGAATCATCTTGAAATTTTAAGAATACAGTTGCTGTTGCTTATTCTTTGTATATTTTTAATCATTCCGTAAGCTGAACCCTGTTAACTCTACCCCATATCGAGGCCCTTGCTGACTGGTCAGTTTTCTAGTTATGTCTGCTTCAATCAGATTACGTATAATCTTGGTCTTTATCGATTGTCAAAGGTGGCTGCTTACAATAAGATATTTACAGCTTTTGCTCAAATATTACATACCCAAGTATTTTCAAATAAAATACGAATCATGCCAGGGATAGGGAAATTATTGCTTTTTCGTTTCATCTTTTAACTCCCAGGACAAAAAAAAGATATTAATGAGAAGCAATTTTTACTGCTGCAAACGTTGAAGCGAATCTGAATGCATGGAAAAAGAAAGAGTGACTAAGACATTTTGTCATTCATAACCTTGTGTCAAGGGCCAGATATCGTAGAGGTTTTATTTTGAAAATGTTCTTAGAAAATCTTGAAGATGAATTGAGTGCACTGTGTTGCAAAAGATATCCCTTTTCGAGACCCCCTACTATAGAACAGGACTTTCCTCTCCAGATAAAAATGCTGTGAAATTCCATCATCACCAATATTTATCTGTCTACACATACAAGTTTTGTAATTTTTTCTATATTCGAGAAACACAAAGTCATGGTCAATCTGATTAAAATTAGTTGTTCCGAATCTACAAAGAAGAAGCGGTAGTGGATTTGGAACATCTAATTTTAATTATATTGAGGTCATGGGTACATGAAACGTTATGACAGATGCTTTAGTTACTCTCTGTTTATTGAAGTTAAAGAATACTAGTACAGCAAATAATTTACTGATATCGCCGTCTTTCCTTGATAATATATATTTATTCTAAAGCTTCTCATGAAAGTTGAATAAAAAACTCCAATGCTACAAACCTTCGCTTTACCGCTTTTAAAAGAAATATTTAATTGTATTCAATCATTGGTATACACTGTTAGCTTAAAAAAGGATTAGGAATTGGCAGTGTCCAATTAATTTGACTTATGGGTGCATCGATTGGGTAAGGAACAAGTGGACCTTTCAAGAATGACGACATTGAGCGTGGGGAAGGATGTGGAAATGTATAAATGGTATGTTTGTTTTTGTCGATCAACCCTTCCTTTTGTTTGGCAATAGAACCAAATAAAATGAAAACGACACCATTGCATTTTTCACTGATGATTCTTATTATGGCATTTGTCAGCTCCTGCCAGCCATATGTTTTATGGGACATCGGCTTACCGGCACTGAAAAATCAAAATAAAATAAAACATTAGAAGTTAATATTTTTGGATGTTTAAATAACTTTTAGTTGAAATAAGACTTTAATATGTTTTCGCGGGAAATGTTATAAAAATAATTTATATAAGTCGTAATATTATACAGAAAATATTTACATCAAATCTGTGTCTATATGCACTTTTTAAATTAGATTTGACTTGAAATTAATACTTACGTCACCGTAAGTATAGAATTTAGAAGGAGAACGCCGTTGCTTGCCCAGGGGTCCAGGCATCCATGATTCGGGATTTGAAATCCCGGGATAATCATTTGAAATAACTTAAATATATTATCTAACGATCGAGAAACCGGATCGGCCATGTGTACCGAGAAAGCATCCCCCGTTGCCTACAATAGAGAAATGCAAGATTTAAATACTATTAATAATTTTATTTTTGCGAAAACTGAATCAAAATGATTTGCGATGATATCAGCAATTCATTTAAAACTGCCCTATGAAATATTCATAGCTCTTTTCTGAAGTAGAAAGAGGATTTTGATTTTTATACTGAATAAATACCAGAATGATACCACTGAAATAAAGTTTATGGATAGCAAGGTAAATTTTTATAGTCAAGTGGATAGAAAATTTACAAAATGGAGAAAAAATTAAATTGGAATAAGTGTTTATTTTACAAATGTACTTATACAGATCATGTTCTTCCTGAATAGCTAGGTAGTTCGGTTTTAAATACAAGTATTAGATCCCTATTGATTAAAATCTTTCATACCTTATAGTAGTACTAATTTAGATTCAAAACTTATGTGGAAGTCACTAGAGGGTAAAAAGGTAGGATATTTTGTGACAGGGGTGACAAGAGGTTTTTATGGATAAAATGTTTCATAATTCTGAAAGACACCCAAATTTGGGGGCCAAACAGGGATCTTACCCTATCTTGTCTTTTATATGTCTCCCCTAAATCATTTAATATTGTAAAACCTTTTAGAAATAGAAGTCTTGAAAACTACACTTTTCAAAAAGCTAGCAACTTAACTGATACTTATGACCTGGGTTGGGACAGTTAACGCGAAGCGGTTTATTAAAAAAGCGTAAACTCCTCCTACAAAGGAACTTATATCAGTATAACTATGTCTCCCAGAACGAAGTTGGGCGATATATAGCGATTGTACGCATGTTTTTCTTCTCCAGGCGGTTTTTCAGAGATGGCTGGAACAATCTTCCTGAAACTTTCCTCAAAGGAAGATCACTGGTTGTAGCTGTGTTGTGTGGTCATGCAGTTTCAAAATGGCTACCGATGCAAATGTGACGAATATTGTCGGCGAGTTTTCTCTCTTGTCCGTTGAACATTCTTCTTTAAATTTTATTGATTTAATGATTAGTATCTTTAATTATGCTCATTGGATTTAAAAATTGCAAATTGTCCATAGCTTCCATGGAAACATGGGAAAAGTGAAAATTCTTTAACTTTGATTTTTAAATCAAAGTACTGAAAGTACAGATACGAGTTGTTGTTCAAGCTTAGCTAATGAGTATTGTTTTAGTGCTGAAAAAATGAGAGTCTTGTTCAGTTCGGGGAGATTATAGCTGTTTTTGACGTAAACGATTGTTTACAACTTAGATTATATTTGTTTTCAATCAAATTAGTAAACGCGTTATACAACCAAAATTATATTATAAGAGAGATAGTCAACAGTTCTAAACGAAAACATAATTACTTAAAAGCAAGCTGAGTAATAAGATATTTAGAACTTTAATGTGTAAGGTATGAGTAATCAAAGTAAAAAAGAAAGCGACGAAACAACAAAATTATTTGCATATTTATGTAAATAATATTTCACGTAATGTAAAAACAATACTATGAAAATCTCACCTGACCACCAGGATATGGATCTTGTGCAACAATTACTGCCCTGGTCTAATAATAAAAAGACAATTAGAGAAACTTTTTATAATTCCTATGTTAAAAGTTAATGTAGAATAAAAGTATACAAAATAATCGACAATTGCCGTCTCACCGTTTCCAATGGTGTCACATTTAGGGCATGGAATATCAAATTTAATGGCGGATAAATAATGTCAAGATCAATAAGATGATTTGTTATTTTGTACTCAATCTGTTTAATATAAGGTTTGTTGAATTCTTCTGCAAGCAGTTGCTTCCACTGATTGTTGTTGATATAGTCCATGAGAGAAATTGGAAAAATCGGAAGACCTAAAATATTGTGATGCATTATATACTTATTCATGAATTTTATCTTTTAAAGATATTCTTTTTTAATTGAAGAGATTTTAAACGTCAATTATCACTTATTTGATGTAATATTAGATTTAAAAATACTTTTGTAATGTTTGCATCTTATTTAAAATAAAGAAAAAAATACATGTATATGCTCCTGTGTTATTAAATTTTAACCTAACCCGTACACATTTTATCATTTTTCAATTAAAAATCATTCAATATTATACCCATTCTTTTTTTTAGGGGGAAGGGGGGGGGGTAAAGAATCTTTACATGACATGAAGCCTCTTTATACTGTCATAATATAAAATGTTCTTTGATGTAGTGATTGTGCACCCTAGAGTAGAAAATATTAAACCAACATTAAATTTAATTTATATCATTAAAAAAATTACATATAAAGGGGAACTTTTGTGAGAATAGTCCAATAATTTATTAAGATTTATTTCTAAAATAATTTTTAAAAACTACATTTCTTTGTCAAAAAGCTGCACTTCTCTTTAAAAATACTCACACCAGTCCATAGTGCAATACTCTAGAATACCCTGGAATACTTTCGACATCAAATTGTCTGTTTTTTATCTGGTATAGCTGTTAGTTTGCCCTTTCCTAAAAAAGATAGAATTTAAGTATTACAACTGTTTACTGAACTCTTATTTACCAAATATGACGCTATTTTTCTTGCGCATTAAAAAGTCCCTTGTTATAATACTCTGTTTAATTCATTAATATTATCCAATTTATCTCTAAAGGTTTATTTTAATATATTTAGCCAGTTATAAGGGGGTATATAATAAATTTATCATTATATCAGTAACTTGATCCAAAGAGCCGTATCACGTCTCGTTTACAGGCGCGGATCATCAGATCAAACTCGACGCTTCGCGTCTCGTTAGATTTGATGATCCACGCCTGTCAACTCGACGTGATACGACCCTTCAGATCAAGTTACTGTTGTAATAATATATATGTACCCAAAGTTAGGTCTTCTCACAAGAAATACAATTTCGAAATGTAAAAGCTGTAGAAACACCTGTTCAAAAGTTATCGCCAAGGATTTAGTTTTTGAAAGGTACATGTAATTAAAACTCCAGGGTCAATGTCAAGGGTCAACGTTGTTGGTTTACAAATAAAGGTCTTATTATACGGATTATATATAAGAAGTATGACAGCCATATTCCTAACAGTTCAAATACTATGAGTAAGGTTAAGGTTCATAAATACATGAAGTAGGTCAAACTCCAAGGTCAAGGTTGGAGGTTCAAAGTTTTTGGTATCCAATGAAAAGTGTTGTCACAAGGATTAAATATATATGAAGTGTGAAAATCCTAACCCTTACCGTTCAAAAGTAAAGTCCGAGGTTAATTTTTTTTAGGAAAAAATATTTCCAAGGTAAAGGTCAAGCATGTTGGTATCCAATATAAGTTCTTGTCACAAAATATATATATATTAAGTACGAAAGTCCTAGTATCTCCCATTCGAAAGTCATGGATAAATTCAAAGTTTAGAATTTTGTGTAAAAGTGTGTCAAACTCAAAGGCCAAAAGGTCAAATTCGGCGGTACCCAAAGAAAGGTCTGGACACAAGAAATACACATGTGAAATACAAAAATCACAGCTCCTCTAAATCAAATTCAAAAGTTATGAGCAAGGTTAAAGTGCTGCAGACAAACAGACAGACCGAAAGACAGCTAGGCAGGCTGACATGACAAAACTTATAAACCCAAGTCTTCGATTACGGGGGCAGAAAATATACCATCGTCTCCTAAGTATCAAATACTTGTCGCGTTAGACATTTTTTGGTAAAAGTCACGGCATTTGGAGGGTATAACTTTGAATTCCCAATAGTAAAGCCTGATTATGAAATACTGTGAGCAATGTTTTTGTAGAAAATAATTATACAGCATGTATATATCTCGAAAAACGTAAATGATACAATTGTCAAAAAGAGAGTTTCTTTAAAACAAAATGAAAAGACATGTACAAACATCTCTCAATACATTTCCTAACGCAGTTTTAGCATAGAATTTGATGGATCTAATGTTTTTTTCTATATATTAATGTACATTTACGTAAGATTATTTTTCTTAATATATTGTTTTAAAACATGATAGAAACACTCATGCAGTTTAAAATTTCAACCAATATTTTAATTTATTTATTCATGTTATTACATGTATAAGGTAATCTAATTTATTACAAATACATCTCTTTCAAAGTTCTTTTACAAAAACATTTATAAAATGATGTACAAATTAGAATATTTATTATGTTTGTAAAACATACTGAAGAAAAAAAATGAGTAGACTTACCAAACCTTCTGTCACAATATTGAAATATACATCAGGAACGTCAGATATCAAGAAATGCTCGAGAGGACCTACATTTTGCGCATGCTCACGAACATAGATTGGCAACTCCTCTTGGCAGCTGTTATATAGTTAAAAACGAACATAATGACTGTAATTGATATCATAGAAGGGATTTAATAAACCGCATAAAGAGCTTCAAGTTAACCTATTTATTTCAAAAAGTCATCAAGTTCTCAAAAGGGTACAAAAAGAAACAAAACAATGAGATCATATTCAGCGGTATTGAGATAACATGTCTGACATCATTCTTTAGATAGATATGAAACTGGCATATACCTACTGAATAAAACTCTTTGTTCTCTGTGTAATAGAATACTTAAAACAGCAGACGAATTGGTTAGAAAGATTTTGCTTTTTTAAAATGAAGACCAGATATCGTTGACATATATTTTAAGGTGGGCCCGAAATTGAAACTAGGAAAAACCTGAAGTTACGGGATGTTCTTACATTCCAGGAATTTTTCGTGACATAACTTGAAAAATTATTGAAGGAAAGGACATTCTTTGAGGGTAAAGAGAGTATACACATAAAATAATAACATGTTAGTGTATTAGTTCATATGTACAGAGTGTACCAGAAAGTATGATACAATTTCAATATTAGCTATTAAATTTAAATGACACAAATTAAGGTCCCTTTCAAGTATACAAAAGAAAAAAAAGATATATCACTATTTCATGACTTGTCACGTTTATGTTACGTTAACCCCTTCTTTCTGATCATATGAACTACTTTGACTTTACATTAAATTTAATGTATCAAATGATATATTTAATTCGCTATTTTCTTTCAAAGTCATGAATGCTTAACACTGTATCACATGTCAACATTATGTTTTATTTCGGATCTAGAACATATTTCCATTTGCCTTCAGTAAAGAAATCTTTTCAATGACTAACTTAAATCATTGATTTTGTATGTTTTTCAAAAAAAAAAAAAAATTCATTTGTAATGAATTACAAAGCTGTACTACAACGCTGTCATTTTTAACATAATTTAATCCTACTCTGAAGTCACTAATTTTCGCGGGGGTTTAATTTCTGCTGTTTTCAAAGTCTAACGAGACCCACCAATTTATGCCTAAAACGAATATTTTACATATATTACAACTAAACAATCCTTCAACTACAAAATAAAATCCCCATGAACCAATTAAATTTGCCTCAAACCACGAAAAATTTATTCAAATTTTTAAACACCCTCGCTTGAAAAGCCAGAGGTTATATAGTATTTCGTATGTCCGTCCGTCTGTGTCTGTCCGTCTTTTATGCTTTGGAGTACCCATCTCTTATCCGCAACTCCTCTCATACCACTGAATGAAATTTGATGAAACTTGCAATGTAAAGGAGCTGGTCGAACTAATAATAGTGTCATACAACAATTGAGGACATGCCATATATATAACTAATTGTTGATTTGGACATCTGGCAGTCATCTGCCTATAATTTGTTACGAGAAATTAAGAATGTATTTATATTAAGATAAAAATTCGGTAATGAATAACACAGCGATTCCTTAGAGATATATTTATGAATTGGGAGATTAAATTAGTGTAGACCTATAGGGTTTAGCACAGACATATTGTTTGAACATTTTAAACTTAGACAATATTAATATCATAATCATTTTTAGTTATTAGTAGTGAAGGTAAAATGATATAAAAGTTTATTAAATCAGAATGTATATTATTAGTGACGCAAATTCGGTGACTTTATAATTGGAAAGAGGACTTTATTTTGTAAACAATTATTATCTTGTCAAAACAAATTGGATTTTGGTGTTGTTCAAATGTACTATAATTTGTTAGATCATTTTGTAATGAAATTGATCCGAATAGACCAATCAAGCCCATCGATAGTAAGTAATAAAATTTGAACGGAAATACAATGGTATCATTAAGAGTTTTGACTAAGAACAATGAAATTGGGAACTTTGAAGTAAGTAAGTAGAAGAGCTTAAGGCTAGAACTCCTGCGGTGCAGAGATGGGGACTGAGCCCATAAATATTAGTAATGAGTGTTTACCTGTATTCGAGAGTGGTGCCATGTTGGGGTTCATAGGTCAACGGACAGACCTACGGACAAAGCGTAGGTGGTTAGTGATAGTGAATTAGCCAATGAAATATATTTTTATATCTGGGACCATGGATACCCACTGAGCACCAAATATCCTGTTTTAGTCAGAAAAGAGTATTCCCGGTTTTGTTCTCGAACTATCACACTTCTTTGGCTTTTTATTATTCTGGGAATCATTCTTTTGGACTTTTATTTATTTAATATTTGGAGTTCAGTCTTAAATTCTTTTTATATTGGACGGATCCTTTGGACATTTATATAAAAAGTGTATTGGTCTTTTCTGATCATATTTCAGAAAAGTTTTCATCATTGGCTTACATCCTACAAGTCAATTTGGTGCTCGTTGACCAGGATTTGCGAAGTACAATTACATTTAACGTTTGCGATCAAGACGGAAAAAGGGCTGTGAATTGAATTAATGCTCGGAACCAGGAATGGAAAACTATTACAAGGTTGATTCGCTTCTCACTATCAAGGCGATGCGAAGCATAACTAAAATGTCAAACGCGGAGGGAAAATGTGGCAAGGTAGGACGTAAATTTCTGACACAGAAGTATCTGTAGCCTGACCATGTTTTGATTTTTTAAAATTAATTTTTTGGAATTTTTTTTGGCTTATTGTTTTGGTTTGTTTTAAAGGATATTTATGACTTATTTGGCAGCAGTTTTGAAAGTGAAGGAAATTAATATCTAAAATTTTATATGAAGAAAAACTTTTATCATGTAGAGTCGATTTCTGATTACCAAGAGTAAAAAGTAAGTAATAGTGGGAAAATTGAAACAAAAATCATCATTTCGAAATTGAATTTATTAAAACAAGTAATGCGTTAAATGATATTGTGTATATGTAGTTATGGTAGTTCGCTTGTAATCAATGTTATTTAAAAAAGTAAACTAAGATTATTTTCGTAACGGACAGGCAAGAGAAAATGGTAATGAAGTTCACGTCAGATTTATTGTCACATTTTTTAAATCTTGAATTTGAAAATTGACTAGATTTGTTTTGAAGTTTTGAGATCTCGAGAAAAGTGCAACACTGAATCAAACAATTCGTTGGAATTTATCGTGGACTAAATTTGAGGCATTTATTTTTAAATATGACGTTGGTCTGATACTAAGGACGGTGATTACGTCTGACCCAGTGTTAATGGGCCGTCATAAGTGTTTGTACTAATCCTGAGTTAAATTCGCTGTGAGGATGCGATTGTGAAAAGGATAGTACTGAGTTTATGTTTTGAGTAAACCGACTGTGGATATCACAAGAAGTCGTGGAAATGAGGAATAGGACAGGTGATAGCAGTCATTTAGAGATGCTCACAGATGAAGAAAACGTTGGAGACTAATGACATTAACTGATTTATGTTGTACTTTTGAACGGATGTACCAACAACTAATAAGTCAATTACAAATTCTGAGGTTGGAGAACAATTTTTTATTCGGACTAAACTATTGGATTCGAATTTAAATGTATAGGATACGATGATGGCTTCTATTTTGAAGGACGATGCTACCGTCTGGAGTGGTGATTATTACACTCCGTCATCTACTAAATCACAAGGACTGTATCAGCTGAATGACCTTGAAGAGTTCCACAATAACTTATGTTACTTATATTATTGTGGAATATAACTAAGTTTTGATCTATACCTAAGTGTGGAATGAGAACATTGATTCCAAAGCGAACGAGTTTAGTGAGGAGTAGTAAAGGCGCCAGTAGTGAACAGTAGTAAAACCATGTATCCACGTAGAGTTGTTAGGTGGACATATATTGGACACATATATTGGACTTATATAATCAATGTAACCGTATACTGTAAAATCACATATTTTCGTGGGGTCAAATTTTCGTGGTTTGAGGAAAAAATGTTGGTTCGTTGGGATTTGATTTCGTGGATTAAGAACCTTTTAGTAGCTATGCATATATATATACATTTCGTGGTGGATATAAATTCGTGGGTCTCTTCATACCACGAAAACAACGAAAATTAAACCCCCACGAAAATTAGTGATTTCACAGTATATTGGACTTTATTTCGGGAACAAGAAGATGACGTCCGCGAACTTCCTATGCTGTGCGACTACCGTACGCAATATGAACAATAAAGAAATCGTGACTAAATTATCTTCGAGGACTGTGGATTTTGTTTTATAAAAAGTGAACGGTGTCACGGGACAACTTCTTACCTTGTGAACGAAATAAACTGTGACTAAGTTTAAAATTATGTTCCGGATCTAATGGAGAAATTTCCAGTGTACAGGGAAATTTCTTAGTGTGTGGGGACGAATGTAAACCTATAGGGTTTAGCACAGACATATTGTTTGAACATTTTAAACTTAGACAATATTAATATCATAATCATTTTTAGTTATTAGCAGTGAAGGTAAAATGATATAAAAGTTTATTAAATCAGAATGTATATTATTAGTGACGCAAATTCGGTGACTTTATAATTGGAAAGAGGACTTTATTTTGTAAACAATTATTATCTTGTCAAAACAAATTGGATTTTGGTGTTGTTCAAATGTACTATAATTTGTTAGATCATTTTGTAATGAAATTGATCCGAATAGACCAATCAAGCCCATCGATAGTAAGTAATAAAATTTGAACGGAAATACAATGGTATCATTAAGAGTTTTGACTAAGAACAATAAAATTGGGAACTTTGAAGTAAGTAAGTAAAAGAGCTTAAGGCTAGAACTCCTGTGGTGCAGAGATGGGGACTGAGCCCATAAATATTAGTAATGAGTGTTTACCTGTATTCGAGGGTGGTGCCATGTTGGGGTTCATAGGTCAACGGACAGACCTACGGACAAAGCGTAGGTGGTTAGTGATAGTGAATTAGCCAATGAAATATATTTTTATATCTGGGACCATGGATACCCACTGAGCACCAAATACCCTGTTTTAGTCAGAAAAGAGTATTCCCGGTTTTGTTCTCGAACTATCACACTTCTTTGGCTTTTTATTATTCTGGGAATCATTCTTTTGGACTTTTATTTATTTAATATTTGGAGTTCAGTCTT